GCATGAGTCTTGTTCACTTAACCGAAGTTTTGAAGCTCAAACGACATTGTCGACACGATGTGTTTACTTCTAGTAAGCGTGAATCGCACTATAAGGACTGGCGTTTCAAGTGCCCCGTGCCAATGAACGTGTGTGTGCCGTACCGAAGACGTTGGCTTTGCTTCGGTCCTCGGTTTCCGGGGCTTGGTTCTTTTTTGGGGGTTCCCGTCGGCATATTATCTCGGTAGAGTACGCCTTTGGATGTCAGAGCAGTTTTTAGGTCTCCCCAATTAGAATTATACAAGAGGTGTTTTTCTTTAAGAAGGTGCTACTCCAGTCCGTCCGCACACGATAACAAAATCCCATGGCAATGCATGAGTCTTATACATTGATCCGAAGTGTTGAAGTTCAACCGACAATATCGGCACAACCTGTTTATTTCTAGCAAGTGTGAATTGCATTATCCGGACCCGTGTGTGAGGTGCACTGCGCCAATTAAAGCATATATACCGTTCTGAAAACGTGGGATTTACTTCGGTCTTCGGTTTCCGGGCTTGGCTTATTTCCTTGGCATTGCTGTTGGCATAATATCTTGGTAGAGCATGTAATTGGATGTCAGTGTTTTTAGGTCTCGCCAATTTGAATTATGCAAGAGGTGCACTACTTAAAGAGGGTGCTGCTACAGTCTGTCCGCACGACATTATGGTATTGTCTCACGGCAATACATGCGTCTTATTCATTGAACGGCAGTGTTGTAGCTCAACCGATATTGTCGACACGCTGTGTTTATTTCTACTGAGTGTGAATCACATTATCTGGGAATATGCATGAGGTGCACCTAAAACCTCATGTGATCTGAAAACGGCTCTGGCACCCAAGGACATTTTGTACCGAGATAGTACTCTCGTGTATGAGGTGCACTGCGCTTATGAACTTGTATGTAGCGTACCGAAATTCCAATGAGCGAGGCATGAAATCGCTCTGGCATCCAGAAACATACTCTACCGAGATAATATGCCAACAGCAACTCTAAGGAAGCGGACTAAGCCCGGGAACCGAAGACCAAAGGAAAGCCAACGCATTCGGTACGGTATATATATATATATATATATATATATATATATATATATATATATATATATATAAGGAAGCGGACTAAGCCCGGGAACCGAAGACCAAAGGAAAGCCAACGCATTCGGTACGGTATATAAATGTATATATATATATATATATATATATATATATATATATATATATATGTGTGTGTGTGTGTGTGTGTGTGTGTGTGTGTGTGTGTGTGTGTGTGTGTGTGTGTGTGTGTGTGTGTGTGTGTGTGTGTGTGTGTTGTGTGTGTGTGTGTGTGTGTGTGTGTGTGTGTGTGTGTGTGTGTCTGCTAACGCTGTGCACATCACACACGAGTCCGGATAATGCGATTTACATTTATTAGCAAGAAACACAGCGTGCAGACAATGTCGGTTAAGTTACAACACTTCAGTTCAATTAATTTGACTCATGCATTGCCGTGAGATGTTGTCAATACCAACACTACCATTACTAACATGATATGCTAACAGATAACTTACAGAAAGGACTAAAGCATCAGAAACTATCATTAAACATGACTTATCAAACACTGCGCTTGGTTGGTGTAACGACATCATGCACTGACACAACGCAGGCCCGCGAGTACCCAGCCACTCTTGAGCATCCCTCGCTCGCCGCCTCTGAGAACTTCCTAGGCCACACCGCCTGGGAGTTTGGTCCACTCCTTACAGCCACGCGTCACAAGCAGCCACAGCCAATCAAGATATGCGGAGACTGGAGGTGTGCGGTGAAGCCGAAATAGATCAGAAGCTGGAAGGGCTTAGGTCTTAAGAAGGGCAGGGCTGTGAGCTGCACCGACTGATATCGAAGCTGGCTATTTCAGTTCAAAACTGCATACGAATGTGAAACACTCCCGTTAAACGAAAATAAACGTCCTACATGGAAAATAAATTTATGATCCGGTTTCATGTGTGAAACTTATCGCTTCACGAAAGATTATTGCACGACGTGCTGGCCCCTAGTAAGTTGGAATGGTATCAGCAAGACTCAGGCTTAGGGTGTACAGCATTACTGACCATGAAAATATCCTCCAATGAAATCGGGCCTTGGTTCAATCTACGGTTTAAGGGGCTTGGCCCGTTCTCCTAGGACTGCTGTTGGCAAATTATGTCGGTAGAGTATGTCGTTGGATGTCAGAGTGACTTTCAGGTCTCGGCAACGCGAATTATACAAGATGTGTACTACTTTAGGAGTGTACTACAGGCCGTCCGCGCATGATGGCAGCATCTCGCGGCAAGGCACGAATCATATCAACTGAACTGAAGTGTTGGAGCTCAACCGACATTCCCGGCACGATATGTTTATTTCTTATAAGTGTGAATCGCATTATCCGGACTCGTGTATGAGATGCACTGCGCTAATAGACGTATATGTATCGTACCGAAAGCGTTGGCTTTCCTTTGGTCTTCGGTTCCCGGGGCTTGGTCCGCTTCCCTAGGATTGCTGTTGGCATATTATCTCGGCAGAGTATGTTCCTGGATGTCAGAGCGATTTCATGTCTCGCTCATTGGAATTTCGGGACGGTCCGTACACATTTATAAGCGCAGTGCACCTCATACACGAGAGTACTATCTTGGTAGAGAATGTTCTTGGGTGCCAGAGCCGTTTGCAGGTCACATGAGGTTTCAGGTGCACCTCGTACACAAGCCCAGATAATGTGATTCACACTCAGTAGAAATAAACACAGGGTGCCGACAATATCGGTTGAGCTACAACACTTTGGTTCAATGAATAAGACGCATGTATTGCCGTAAGATAACACCATAATGTTGTGCGAACGGACTGTAGTAACGCTCTTTTTAAGTAGAGCACGTCTTGTATGATTCAGATTGGCGAGACCTAAAAACTGTTCTGACATCCAAAGACATGCTCTACCGAGATAAAATGTCAATAACAATGCCAAGGAAACAAGCCAAGCCCCGGAAACCAAAGACCGAAGTAAATCCCACGTTTTCAGTACGGTACAAATACGTTAATTGGCGCAGTGCACCTCATACACGAGTTTGGATAATGCGATTCACACTTGCCAGAAATAAACACATCGTGCCGACAATGTCAGCTGAGCTACAACACTTCGATTCAATGAATAAAACTCATGCGTTGCCGTGAGATGTTGCCAACATGTGCGGACGGACTGTAGTAGCACCGTCTTAAAGAAGTACGCTTCTCGCATAATTCCAATTGGAGAGACCTAAAAACCACTCTGACATCTAAAGACGTACTCTACGGAGATAATATGCCGACAGGAACCGCAAGAAAAGAAGCCAAGCCCCGGAAACCGAGGACCGAAGCAAAGCCAACGTTTTCGGTACGGTACATATACGTTTATTGGCGCGGGGCACTTGAAACGCCAGTCCTTATAGTGCGATTCACGCTTACTAGAAGTAACCACAGCGTGCCCACAATGTCGGTTGAGCTACAAGACTTCGGTTCGATGAACAAGACTCATGCCTTGCCGTGAGATGTTGCCATCATGTTGGGCGGATGGACCGTAGTAGCACCATCTTAAAGTAGTGCACCTCTTACATTATTCCAGTTGGCAAGACCTGAAAACGACTCCGGCATCCAAGAACATTCTCTACCGAGATAGTACTCTCGTGTCTTCGGTTTCCAGGGCTTGGCTTCTTTTCTTGGGGTTTCTGTCGGCATATTATCGCGGTAGGGTATGTCTTTGCATATCAGAGAGGTTTTCAGGTCTCCCCAATTGAAATTATGCAAGAGGTGCACTACTTTAAGAGGGTGCTACTGCAGTCCGTCCGCACATGATGGCAACATCTCACGGCAAAACATGAGCCTTATTCATCGGACCGAAGTCTTGCAGCTCAACCGACATTGTCAGCACGATGTGTTTCGTTCTAATAAGTGTAAATCGCATTATCCGGACTCGTGTATGAGGTGCACTGCGCTAATAGGCACATATATACCATACCGAAAACGTTGGCCTTGCTTCGGCGTTCGGTCCCTGTGGCTTGATCCGTTTTTCTAAGATTGCTGTAAGTGTTTCAGTTTAACGGGCATTGTTGGCTCTTTGTGTTGTCCATTTGGAAATATCAAGTCAAGCTTCACAACTGGAAATAATTTGGTGAGTACAAGAAGTGCAATAATAAGGAGAGTGTATGCGTCTTTCGGGTCTACGTGCGATGGACCGTAAGTTATCAGATATTTGAAGAAAAAAAATTATCAAAGTTATGGTATGTACGCAGGTAGGCACACCAACAGAGAGTTCGAGACACAACTGTGAAGAACTGGGATACTTCTTTTGGTTACTCGTGATTTGGTCATTATGTTGCCTTTTAGTACATATAAATCGTCTGCTGTCGGCATGTTAGAAGTTACATTACTGCTTTTTCCGAAATTATAATATTGTTAGATGGTAACTGCTTGAAGATGACTTGCAATCATGTGAGCAATGTGAGTAGCAATGGTCTAAACGACGAAATGAATAATGTTAATTGCCTTACTATTTTTGGTGTTAAGGTATCATTTTGGGTCATATGATTTCAAAATTGGGCAATTCTGCTAACGCGAACTGGTTATGCCCGTTTCGTACTGCGCTTTTAACGCTCGCGGTGGATAGTTTTCTCTTCTAAAAGAGGTGAAGTACTTGAAAAATGCTTCTTGTCCTTCGTTGAGCAGAACTCGTACCGGTGTATTTATGCAGTTAATCACATTTTTTTAGATCTACCTTTTGTTTTGGCCGGGTTTCATCAACGAATATTTTTTTAGCTTTGTCGTTGAAGACCGCTATGCGTGCGCGCCATTTATGTAGCCTGCCAACCTTGTTTCGGCGTAGCGAAGCACGGAGTAATGATTGCGCGTGTGGTTGGTGTAGATAAGGGCAATGTATAAATTTAGCTCAGTGTGATACACTGAGAAAAGTATTGTATCAGACTAAACGCCGGTGAGTAGATGTAGTGATGCTAACTTTGTGATGAGGAAATGATTCCTCTGCCTCTGCTGCGTTGGCTTCCGAGCCTCGATCACGCGGCAGCTCGACGTCCCAGGTGGTGTAGTTTTGCACATCACTTTGTGGAGTAGGTGAGCAGAGAAAGGTCATATCCCAAACAAATGGTGCAAGCCACGTTCTCCATGATTTTGACCAGGTTTTTTTTCTTAAAGTTGGGGGGCATCTTATCTAACTTAATTGGGAACTACACACTTGTTCCCCAATTAAGTATCTGTAGGTCAGTAAAAGCCTAGGTGGGGATCACATTCCCCCAGAAGCTTTACTCTGGGTGAGATAGGTTGTACCTTGGGTGGAATGCGGCTGCACTTACTGCCATGCCCCAGATGCTCCCATTTATGTTGTAGCTTGCATGACATTTCATTCATAAGCTTGGCATTGTGTACTCCAGGGAATGGTGCAACAGGTGCACAACATTTTTACCATCAGCCTCTATCAGCCTTTATTGGGACTGACACATTTACAATAGAGTTATCAATATCAGCAACTTTCTACCAGCTTCATAGCTAAAAAAAATACAGTAGGTTTGAGCATGGAATTAGGAAGGAAGCACTTACTTAGGAAGCTCTTGATATGAGTATAAGTTTATAAGTATGATATGAGTATAGCATCATGAGTACAAAATATTTCATTTTACCCAGTCACAATCCTGGAGTACAAAATCTGGTACGCACTATACCAGGAAACTTTTTCCAACACTGGCAATACACAATCGCTTGATGAGTGTAGGCTGGAAGGTATGGTTGGATATCAGTGCCAATGACTAATAAGTTTCTTGCTTACTTTTGAACAGAAGGGGCAGCAATGAATGAAAATCAGAAGCCAGATGAGAAGAAGCCAGTAAAAAATGCAGTTGATTTACAGAAACTCAGGCTTGACAAGCTTTTCAAGAACATTGTGAGTATATAACACAATTAGTCTCTGGTTTGGCCTGTAATTATATGTTTTTGGGGGAAAGCCATGTGTTATATGTCTTATGCATTATTTTGATATTGGTACCATCATCTGTAATGTATCCCTTGGAACTCACAAAACATGGAAGATAACCAGTGTCAGAATGAACTCAGACAAGAAATGTTTGCTTTCCATGAGTGGGCTCTGCAAATAAAATGCATTAATTCAAATGGATCATGTCATGGTGGATAGTTTAGCATATCTTAGGGTGTCACACATTCTCTTAGGACAATTGTTAGGTGATCTTGATGTCCAGGACCGGCCAGTGCATCTGCCAGAGGCGTCCAAGTCGCGCACTTTCTCGGCGGCGCCCGAGTTTGTGCGCAACGTGATGGGCTCGAGCGCTGGCGCCGGCAGCGGCGAGTTCCACGTGTACCGGCATATCCGGCGGCGAGAGAACGCCCGCCAGAAGTTCATCGCCGAGGAGGCCGACAAGGTCAGCCATCTGATGTGGTCTCCTGATGGGCTGCTCTCTGGGCTGATGGGCCTTGTGGTCTCCTGGGCTGCTCGTAATTGCGCTGCTTCTGTGCTTTTTAATGTGCAGCGATTCTGTGGAACCTCTGGTGAATGTATTCTCCCGCAAACAAAACTGATAGTTTGGTGTGTAACACTCATGTCATATGATCTGCATATATTCATTCCTTGTGGGTCAAGCAATTTCAAAGCTCCCAATGTAGTTTGATGTGTAACACTCAGTCATATGATCTGCATATATTCATTCCTTGTGGGTCAAGCAATTTCAAAGCTCCCAGTGTACAATGGGGCTTTGCCGGCTTAAGTGGATAGAACCTATTGCATGCAACACTTGGCCTTCCCTCGTAAGCTGAGGTGGCTGTGTAATTTGCTGCGTACTGTATGTGCTACCTGTGTGATGTGATTGTCCTCTTTGCCTTGCATAGGGGGACAAGGACATTGCATGTGACCATGTGATTTACTGCAGACTGTATGTGCCGACTGTGTGGTGTGATCGCCCTCTTTGCCTTGCACAGGAGGACAAGGACATTGCATACCAGAAGAAAATGGAGGACAACAAAGTCTGGACAGAGGAGCGAACTGCCAAGAAGCGCGCCAAGCGTCAGAAGAAGAAGGCACGGCAGCAGAGCAAGGGAAAGCGTCCCAGGGTGGCGGCTGTCGCACCGGAGGAGGGTGATGACACTTCGGACTCGGAAGAGCAGGACAGTGACGCTGCCCGCGCGTCAGGCCACGCCGGCGGCAGTGTGTCCGAGGCGGGGAAGGGACCTGTGGACAGTGTGCCAGAGGCCAACGCAAGCAGTTGTGATGGTGTACCTGAGGATGGTTCAGGTGACTATGACCGACCCAAGGCCAATACTGGCAGCTGTTACAGTGTGTCTGAGGTGAAGTCAGGCTGTTATGACAGTGACCCTCAGGCTGCATCTGAATCCAAAGCAGGGTAGTCAACAGTGGAAGTGAAGCCAGATCATTGTATTTTTGGATGTGACACAGCGTTTTACGTGGATTGGCTGCGCACCGACAGTTCCTGTTGTGGACCACGTAGATAGTCGTGGAAAAACATTTTTCGTGCTGTGGTTCACTTCTGTCCGAATACCGAATGACTTTTCAGCTCGTGTTTAGCCGATGCTGCAACGAGCAAGGATAGTATTGCTGAACGTCGTCGAACCAAGCCATTGTGAAATGCGCATTTCTCGTACACTTTGCAGTACATGAACGTGGGTGTCATTCTGCCGTCTCCTGGCGTGGTTGACGGTTGGGGTGCGTGTGCAGCGTGTTTGTAAATGTCGAATGTGGTCGAAAGAATGTCACAGGTACCTTCAGAGGACTTTGACTGGAGAGTGGCCTGTCGCCTATTTCCTGACCCCAAGGAGCGTTGTTCTTCGGCGTCGCGTTCACGCAACACGTAGAGAACACACCAAATGAAATAGCGATGCATAATGGCTGAAATGGAAAGTGCCGTGCAATCTTTTGATAAACAACGTGGTTGCCATCGGCATGACTTCTGCATTGTGTTGCTCGGTGGGCATCGGGTCCAAAGTCAGTCTAAGTTATCATTGTTTGTATTGGTGTGCATAAGTTATCGCAGTAGAACAGTTGGCTAATACACATGAGATATGGACGCTGCATGATCGCGCAGTTGAATGACGCAAAAAGTAAATTAAGTAGCCAGCGGACCTATACCGCATGCCCAGTTAATGAGAGATCTTTGGTACAAGCTAAACCTCGTTGGCATTTTCCCTGGGCCAGCTCCAACCCAGGCAGCCACTGAAGAGCGATCGCCTAGCCTTGTGTTCAAGACTATGCCACCCTTCGCCGGTGACACGGGGTCCACGGGCGGATGCGTACTGAACCATCCAGGGCTCAACGTCCAGTGGTCAAAATACCAAACTCTCTGCATTCAGTGTTTATAGCATGCAACGATCGTCCAGTGTCGCTGGCGGGGGGGGGGGAGGGGGGTAATCACAACATCCAAGCTTGCAGCATCTAAAAACGCAACATCCAAGACTCATAACATCCAGCGTTCGTGACGGCCAAGGTGGGAGAGCAGTATCAATCAAAGGTTATTAACTAGACGTGATCGCATGTTATGAACACTGGGTGCTGTGATTTTGGACGTTGCGAGCTTTGATGATACGAGCTTTGCCAGCCGGCACAGAATTGGACGCATTTTGAGTGTTTTGAACGTTGGATATTACGATTTTTGGATGGTACAAGCAATGGATGCCATGATCTCTGACGTTTTGATGAATGAATTGATAGGTGCGTATTGAAACCCCCAAAGTCTATAATGTGTGCCAAAACGCCCAAAATAGCAGTATTCAGTGTGCATAACATCCAAAACAGTCCAACGGCCTTGAGCAGAATAAGATCACAGCATCCAAGCCCGCAGCACCCAAAATTGCAACATCCAAAGCTGATCATCCAGCGTTTATGACATTGAGCGTTTGGAGGGCAGTGTCGATCTAAACTTCATCAACTGGAGGTCATGATCGCTGAATGTTATAAACACTGGATGCTGTATTTTTGGACGTTGTGAGGCTGGACGCAAAGACGTCCGTCAATGGGCTGGCATTGGACGCGTTTTGGATGTCACGAACGCCGGATGTTGCGATTTGGACTAGGAGCACTGGTGGTTGCAATCTTTAACGTTTTTATGGTTCACGGGTATGGTCCGTCCTGGAGCAGACGTTTCAGCCGGTTCAGTTTCCCGGGAGGAAGGGGCGGGGGGGGGGGGGCACTATCTTGCCGTATGCTTTCGATGGATTCATCTGCACACCGGCCCAGATAAATTTAGATAGCCCTGTCGTGTGCAGGCGTGCTACGACAAAGGTCCTGACAACGGTGTTGACGTGTGTTCAATATTTATCTTCAAGGGCGCGACGAAATAAGCACTCATATGTTTATAAGGCGTATATGTTTCAGCATGTTCGCGTATATTTATATATATATACGGATATACACACACACACACACACACACACACATATATATATATATATATATATATATATATATATATATATATATATATATATATGGAGGGGGGGGGGCGTAGCCTACAGTATCTTGTCACAAAACCCCGCTCTGGGGCACCAACGCTATTCAAAAAGGGTGCATGATTCAGCGTGGCTGCACGACCGGAAGTGAAAACACCAAGTGATGTTTGCTACCGTCAGGTTGAACGATTATGCTGAGATCCCTCAGATTATGACTCTTCTGTTCAGATTATGTTCAGATCCATGGTCGGATGGATACCGGTGCTACGGCGCGCCTCCGACCGGCAGCACTGTCGATGACTGCAGTGCGTGCCAGATGTAGTGTCCACAGCTGCCAGCTGGCCGCTGGCGCATGGTGCCTTCAACATCATGAGTGGTCGAAGACGTTTTTTTGGACATCTCGTCCGTTAATTGCGAGTCCCTGGTCCGCATGGGCAGCCTGGTTTGCTCGTCAGTTCTCCTCAAATTCTGACGTGGGTGTACCACAAATCGACAAGCCAGCCCGGCCCGGCGAGAATAGTCCCCGCCATATTGAGCGCAGGCGAAGGCCCACGGCAAAGGAGCCATGATCCCACCACTTTCCTCATTGTCTGGGCTGTGCGATAAATCGCGTCGACTCCGTGAGACGACAGTTTGAGGTAGCCGTGAGGACGGTGTAACGCATTTGGCCTTTAAGGCTACACGCCACGACTGCACCGACCATAGATATCTCTACGGCAGTCTTTCGGAGCTGTGCAGGCTGCTCCGAGCAATCTTCCCAGCTTTCAGTTCGCTACCATGCGCTTACTACCCAGTGGCAGCGGTATGCCGAGATATGCGATTTCAGAGAAGCGAAAATTACAAAGCCAAGAATGGAACAAATCCGCAGTACATCTGCCAGCACCGCCCCAGATCTGGCAAATGTCAGATCGCGACGCTGAGAAAACCAGCGGTGAAACCAGGACGTCATCAAGGGACGAGGGCGTCGACAACATCGTCCGTATCGGGTATCTTTGGAAGCTAAACTTACGAGCATGGCTGGGCTACCAATTTGCAAGTTCTTTAGAGAAACTGTCTCCTCATTCCACAATCACAACAAAGTTTGCCAAGGTCACCGGGCTTGTCAGCATCATCCCTCTTAGGACAGCAATACCGAGTATTTCGACGCGTTCTGTTCCAGCCAGCATCGCGCCGATTCCCAGACGAGGCCTGCGCTCCCAGTCAACGTCGACGGCGCTTGACAAAAACACACCGACTGGTGTCGCCAGTCTGTCTGCAACAATTTTTCCAGCGGATAATGGTCTGCTAATGTATACTCGGTTATCGGTCACAGAAGTGTTTTCCCATGCTGGGTGAACTCCATGAACCCGACGAAATGCCTTGAAACAGTCCGGAATGAGAAGACCACCCTGGTGCTCTCCTCTGGCTCGATTTGCCTCTTTGACTGGCATCGCAGACACGATAAATGCGTAGATGGTCCGGGCTGTTGCAATATGGCTCAACAGGCGCCAGTGTGGCTGGTTAGATACACTTGGCTTGGGCGATCACTTTGACCCCACTAAGATTTCAGGAACGAAGATAGTTAGGGATACCAAATTCGCAGGGTGTGTCAGGCTGTACGTGAACTCACTTGTGTCAAAATTTTAGTTTCCTAGGCCATGACCTCCACGTCAAATAAGGTAAAAAATGTCCAACTCCAGACTGGTGTCCAAAGTGCCACAGAACCTAGATACCTGTTGAAAGCAAAAGGCCATTAAAGCTCATGTAGGGTCATTGACCTCAATTGACCTTCTGAAGGTAATCATGGTGACAAAATGATATCAGACTGCTTTGAGTTTTGCATTCGAATAAGCGTCAAAGATAACGCAAGGCAGTGTGTTGTTAAAAACAAAATTTTGACCCGGGTTGTTCCAGGTCAGTGACTTATTCTGACCTTTAAGAACTCAATAGAAGATATATAACGCAGTTATTGTTTTCAATGAATTCGAAGTTAGCATCGGAAACTACGTTATACAACAAGCTCTGGAGTAACAGGACAGGCTGATTATTTATACCTTGGTTTGACCCTCATACCTAAACCTAGGTCAATGGAATTTGTCATCCAGTTGCTGCGTTGCCCATGAAGCTATCTCAGAGATGTATGGCTTCGTTTAACACTCCGTCATTTCGCCATTCAGCCGTCATCAGATTGAACGATCCCCTAGAGATTGTCTTCGCTGAATCCGTGGCCTTATTTTAACCTTCAGCGACGCTTCAAGGCAAATATAAATTTTTGGTACATAGCGATGCGTCTGTCAATCTAGCAGCAGATTGATATCCAATTGCCAGTTGGGTATTCCGGAGCGTCACGATCGCCTCCAACTTTGGTGTGCATGACCTTGACACGCTGATTCCGAAAATCATTGCCTTTGGTGTGGAATTCTGCGTAATTTTCGAGTTATACGCCGAGTAACATCTCAATGTGATATTGCGGGGCGCCTCAATTGCCTCCAAATTTGGTGTGCAGGGCTTTCTCAACACGCTGATTCCGAAAATCAATGCCCTTGGGGTGTAATTTTGCGTAATTTCCGAGTTATACGCCGCGTAACACAACAGTTGGATATTGCGGGGCGTCTCGATTGCCTTGAAATTATTTGTTCAGGGCCTTCTCAACACGCTGATTCCGAAAAGCACTGCTTTTGGGGTGGAATTTTGCTAATTTCCGAGTTATACGCCGCGTAACACAACAGTTGGATATTGCGGGGCGTCTCGATTACCTTGAAATTTGGTGTGCAGCTCCTTCTCAACACACTGATTCCGAAAATCGCTGCCTTTGGGGTGGAATTTTGCGTAATTTTCGAGTTATACGCCGCGTAACACAACAGTTGGATATTGCGGGGCGTCTCGATGGCCTTGAAATTTGGTGTGCAGGGCCTTCTCAACACGCTGATTCCGAAAATCGAAGTGCAGCGTCCCCACCACGGTCAGCAGCAGCGGGCTGATGTGGCCGGCCAGCCAACAACATGGGCATGGCGTGCACAAGTAGCATGTGCTGTTCCACCAGCGTCACGAGCGTCCTTGGGAGATAAGACAGACGGTGGCATTACCCAAATCTTCATGCTCCAGCGGTGAGGCACGATTGGTTTGATCACCAGCGACATCTTGTCAGTTTTTGGTCGGGACAAAAAATGCCCGTGACTACGTCGGACTATTACTCCACCACCTTAAAGGTCAGAAAAGAAACAAAGCTGAAAGCGATGCCACTGGGTGACACCACCAAGTCAATGATATCACATACCACACAGTTATCACTCATATGTCGCGAACTGACCATCTCCAGTGAACTGATACGGACAAACCCAAAGACGAATTCCAGGACACATATTCCAAAGCACAACTGAGGTGTCACGCGTCGTATAACACGGAAATTACGCAAAATTCTTCCCTAAAGACCGTGATTTTCGGAATCAGCGTGTCGAGAAGGCCCTGCACACCAATTTCAAGGCAATCGAGACGCCCCGCAATGTCACCCTGGGATGTCACGCGGCGTATAACTCGGAAGTTACGCAAAATCCCACCCTAAAGACTGATTTTCGGAATCAGCGTGTTGAGAAGGCCCTGCACACCAAATTTGGAGGCAATCGAGACGTCCCGCAATGTCACTTTGGGATGTTACGCGGCGTCTAACTCGAAAATTACGCAAAATTCCACCCCAAAGGCTGTGATTTTCGGAATCAACGTGTTGAGAAGGCCGTGCACACCAAATTTGGAGGCAATCGAGACGCCCCGCAATATCACATTGGGATGCTACGCCGGTTGCTAGTGACTCGAAAATACTGCAAATTTCCCTTCCACTCAAAGGCAGTGATTTTTGGAATCAGCGTGTTTTGAGAAGGCCCTGCACACCGAATTCAAGGCAATGAGACACCCCGCAATATCCAAGGTGCTGTGAAAGCGTCGTATAACTCGACGCAAGTTCACCCTAAAGGCAGTGATTTTCGGCAGTGTATCTGCACATCAAGACAATTAGGCACCCCGCAATATACTGCTGTGTTACCGGCGTATAAGCGACAAATACGCCCACCCCAAAGGCAGTGATTTTCGGAATCAGCGTGTTGAGAAGGCCCTGCACACCAAATTTGGGGGCAATCGAGACGCCCCGCAATATCCAACTGTTGTGTTACGCGGCGTATACCTCGAAAATTACGCAAAATTCCACCCCAAAGGCGGTGATTTTCGGGATTAGCGTGTTGAGAAGGTCATGCACACCAAATTTGGAGGCGATCGTCACGTCCCGGAACATCCAACTGGCAACTGGATATCAATCTGTTGCTAGATTGACGGACGTCATAACGATACACTTCTCACTGGCAACTGCTCAACACAGCCTCGAGAATATTTAGTACGTATTAGTACTAAGAGGAAAAACGGTGTTTAGTACCGGTACATACTAAAAGTGGCGTGGTTTAGTACGCCTAGATACTAAACAGGGCAGACCGGTAACCCGAGGACTGACTAGAAGAAATGAGACTGTGTAGAGGTGGGCGTCGTGAATTTCTTTTCCTTTGGTGGAAGTAGAAAACCTTCACCATTTTGGGATCTCAATTCTCATTTGAATGCGATTTGCTCCTAGTGCGCGGCGAGGTCGGTCCTTGGGTTTGACTCGAATATTTTGAACCAGCTCCGGACTGGCTCACAGATTGTGGAATCTGGCTCAGCTCGTGACTCAGCTGTTCCATTTTTACGTACGCATGCCAAGTTTTTGATGGTCCCCGTAACAAGGCAGTGGAAATGATTGATGTTATTCAAAATGAATGCATTAGAATTGCTACTGGAGCCTTTAGAACTTCGTCCATTTTACCACTGATGGTTGAAGCAGACATACTTCCCTTGAGATTGAGGAGATGCGACTTGTCTCTCCGTTATTCCCTGAAGATACTAAGTCGAGAGGATCATCCATGCAGAAAACTTATGGCCAATGAGGCTGCGTTACATGAGGTAGAGACTGGATATATGAAAAGGATTTCTGGTTTCCCGCTATATGAGAGAATACTTGATATGTGCCATGGAACAGGATTCGATTTCCCAGAAGAGGTGGCCTTAAAACGCAGCGTCGTTCCGCCATGGAGATTACGTAAATGTACGTTGATACAGTTGACTAACAGGAGCAAGAGAACGCTAGATGAAGTGCAAATTCAATGTGAGTTTAATGATTTGAGAAGCAGGTATACAGAATACGAGTTCATATTTACCGATGGAGCAAAAAGTGCAGACGGAGTTGGATGTGCTTTTGTCCACGGTGAAAGCGTCAAAATTTTTAACTTCCTGGACTTTGTTCGATATTTACAGCTGAAGGATTCGCAGCATTACAGGCTCTGAATTATACACATACAAATCGCATCCTCAAATGTGTTATATGCACAGACTCCTTGTACATTATAACAGCCCTGGGAAATCCGACATCTGAAAACCCGATCGTGATCCATTTACTAGAGACGGTCAATCAGTTTATTGAAATGGGCAGCATAATCATTGTCCTCTGGATCCCAAGCCATAGTAATATACGTGGAAACGAGACAGCGGATGCACAAGCAAAGATGGCTGTAAGATTGAATGACGTGTGTAATTTTCAAATGGGTCCTAAAGATTATTTTCCTAAAGTGCGTCGAAGTATTCGTGAATTATTCAACAAATATTGGACAGATTACAACCCTAGGACTAATTTAAAACGCATCAAAGAAGAGGTAGGAAACTGGGTCTCCTGTAAGCGAGCAGTCCGACGCGAAGAGATAGTGCTGTGCCGGCTGAGACTTGGGCATACTCGTTATACCCACTCATATATGATAGATAGAAACCTCCAACCTGAATGTGAACGATGTCAGTGTCCATTAACAGTGTATCACATTCTTCTTGAATGTCCCGTATATTTTCACGAAAGACGATCATTGGTAACACTATGTCAACGGTCCGGAGCACAATTCTGTGTGAGGTCGCTGGTAGGAAATCAATTCCCGGACATCATTGATGGAGTGCTGAAATATTTGCGACACTGCGACCTACTGAAACAATTGTGAAGTGCTGCCTTTGCGTGCGGGACATGTGCAATTTTTGCTTTGCTGTCATTGATTGCTGCCATGTTGTTTATACTATATTGTAATTGTTTGAAATGAGTTGTTTATTTTATGTATAATTTAAGCTTGCGCGCTTATCTGTGTACGATGTCTGACTGGATGCTTGAGAAATGTGAGAAGCAAGGAAGTGGTATAAGAATTATGTGTAGCAAATATGTGTATATGTGTGATACGTGGGCGTGGGCGTAAGCAGAGGAGATTACATGAATGAGGTTTGAACGAGCGTGGTGAAGGCAGATGAATGTGCGTGCATGCGTTAGAGTACACGACATGGCAGATATGTGAAATTTCCATCTGGTAAATGCTTTGTTAAACGGCAATGTTGTGACTGCCGACTGACTGATGACTAACCTGCAACGTCTATCATGTGGGGAAGCCGCGGTTAAAAGAAAATGATAAAAAAGAGCCTGGCAAAAAAACCGGACTTTTTGTTCTCTTGTTTTAGTTCACAAATCAGTTTATGTATCTGAACATTTAACACCGAGTTTTCTAGAAACTAACACCGTTTACTGCACCTCCTTGCTACACCACTGTCCTGCACGAAAATTCCTGACCAGTGCGACACATTCCTTCTATCCTCTGTCGCGCTTAGTTACCATCTGTGCTACCAAACTTCTAAGACAACACATCGATGATGGACGCCTGGGCCCAAGAGGCTATGCGCCCTAAACCAACAACAACTGTTCCATTTTTCATTTGAGTAAGTTAAGACCACATTTACATTGGAGCACTTTATACATGACTCATGCAGATTGCAAAATAATATATCAAGCTCTGGCTCATGTATAGGTGTATGTATGTGTTATATTTATGTAATATATATATATATATATATATATATATATACATACATATACATATATCTATCCTCTGGTTTCTGGCTGAGATTTGGCAAACTTCAGAATGAACATCATGGGCTTTTCTGTTTAGAAGTTGTGATAATAATTCTGTGCTGATTATGCAAAAAGTTTTATAACTCATGCAGCATTGTGTTTATTTTGACATTGAAATAAGATGTGGATTTGCCTAGGGTGCACCATATTTCCATGTGCTGCCAATTTGACTTCAGCCATATGACTCACCAATGCAGCTTTGTGGGAAATAATCAACTCATGACTCAGCTCATAAAATGTTTGACAAATGTGATTCAAGTTGTGACCCAAATTAGCATGTTTCCTAATGGGCTGATGTGGCCTATAACTCACTCCAAGAGGGTTGAATCATGAGCAGCTTCCCAATCCAGCTTAAGTTGAGCACAGTTCTGGCTAGCATGTTTATGTTTGTGTGAAACCTTGCATTTTAGTAAATGGTTACCTGGTTACGGTGATCGCATCAGGCAAACTGGCATTATTTTGTTGTGTTGATTGTGTTGTCAACAATTTTTTGGTATTTCTTGTTTGACATCAAACATGAATCTAGTTGACATCAAACAAACAAATCAAACATCAGAGAAATTAGTTGAAAACTAGATTTCAGTTATATATATATAGTTTTAAGTATATATACATCCCCAGTTTCTGGCTGAGATTTTGAAAATGCATGCTGTATTTCCAGATGTTGCCACTTCAATTCCAGCCAGCAGTATATTTCTGGATATTGTCACTTCAATCTCAGCCACTAACACAACATTGGTAGAAATTATCAGTTCATGATTAGCATCACAACATTTGTGAAGAATGTGATTAGCCCATGACTCAAAGTATCATTTTACCTAGTGAACTGGCTCAGGTTATAACTCACCCTTAAGTCTTTGACTCCTGAGTGCATTCATGGTTCAGCTTGAGTCAAACACAAGTCTGTTTAGCATGCACATATGTCCTGACATTATAACTTGATTTGAGTTGAGTTACAAGTATGGGTCATAAATGTGAACTCAGCCCTAAAATGTGCATTAAGCCAAAGATATTGGGTGAAGCAAAGACTAATGTACAACATATGAGTTATTGCATGGATCAAATACTGAGCTTTTTGCATACCAAGATAATTGAAGATTAAGCTGAATTTAGCAGTCCGCAGTTTGGAAGGCCTGCCTGCGAATGATATGAAGTGAAAGGGTGCAGACCGACTGACCTCAGTTTCCAGACTGAGGATCGCCATTAAAAACCATGTGGTGTATGATCCTACAAGACGTAACGGACAACATCCCGCATACCTTTGTGAGTGATGGTAGAAATTGTATTAAGTTTGTTGAAGACACGAATATATCTATGTCAAAATAATGCCAGTTTGCCTGGTGTGAACACCATAACCAGGTATCCATCTACTAAAATGCAGGATTTTACACATATCAACATGCCACCCACACCTGTGTTCAGCTCAGGCTGAATTGTGAATCTGCTCATGAGTCAATCATATTGGGGTGAGTAACAAGCTGCATCCGCTCACTGGGAAAAATGTTTCGTGTCATATTTGAATCACATTTGTCAAACATTTCATGAGCTGAGTCATGAGCTAAGTATTTCCCACAATGTTGCATCAGTGAGTCATATGCCTGGAGTCAAATTGGCAGCACAAGGAAATATGGTGCATCCTAGACAAATTGACATATTTCAGTATCAAATTTACACAGTGCAGCATAAGATATACAACTTTTTGCAGCATCAGCACATAATTATTATCACCATTTCTAAACAGAAAGCCCATGCTGTTTATCCTGAAGTTTGCCAAATCTCAGCAAGAAATCAAATATATATATATATATATATATATATATATATATATATATATATATATATATGAATAGCACATACATATACATGTATAACTGGGCCAGATGCTTGATATTTGATTTTGCGCAAGCTGCATGAGTCATGAGTCAAGTGCTTCTCCAAATACCAAGTACGGAACAGATGAGTACGGAATACCAAGTACGGAACAGATCTCCGAACGTATGGAACAGATGAGTACAAAACCTTCACTTACTGATGTGCCATCGCTGAAATCCTCTCGTTTTCTAAACCTGGTGACAGTTGGTCACGTCAAACGTCATCAAAAAAACGTCCGATATCTCCAATATTGTCTGTAGACAATATACACGCATGTACGCGATACGCATGTTCCGAGCGTGTGCGACAGATCGGCACGAAGCCTGTACCAATCGATGCGCCGTGGTCGATAGCCATTCTGTCAAGAAGGTGATGTCCCTGTGTTAGGTCAGAGGTCACCATAAGTGCCCCAACTTACAAAAAGTTTGTTTGCAGACAAGTTTCACCGATGGTCTATCCTTTCCAGAAGATGGTGACCTTGGGTTAGAGCAGAGGCCGGAAAAATGTCCAAAACCAAAATGAAAGTGTGCAGGCAACTGCATGCTCCGAGCCTGTGAGACTGATAGGCACAAATCATCTACTAACAGAAATATTTACCATTCGATGCCGCTTGGTGGATAATCTGGCGAGGTCCATCTTTTCACATATTCATCCCCCCACGACTTCCGCACAAACTGACGCTCTCCATCTGTAATCTGCACATTAACTCTACCACTGCTACCATCTGTCTCAAAAACGCACTTCATCCACACAATCGCACCTCGATTTGAAATCTCCAGGTCTGGACAACTGGCTTTCAAACAGACGTAGGATCGATTTTGCCTATGTTAACGCAGATGAACGGTCCTTGGTCAGATTATCCTTCCAGTCTAAATTGGTGGCACCTTCGGCCACCCATGTAAACGGTGCTTTTCTGAGGGGGCGAAAGCCAGTGTTGTTACTAGCATGGTGAGTGAAAGGAATGCTCCATTAAGTTGCGTTTTAACTAAGAAAAACTCTCACGTGGTCTGAAACGCACACTAGGAAAAAGTGCAGTCATACCAGGTGGTTCGTTCTAAATTGATGTCCAAAATGCGGAGCCCCTAACGTTCCGGCGCCAACAGAACGCTGTGTCCACGATATCTGAGAATCAACTCGTCTAATTAAAAAATTCAAGCAGTGGTTATCCCGTGCACTGCACCCAGGTATTGATGTGACATATATGACATGCTTGCCGATGTAACAGGCAGTGCAGATTACCTTAGAAATCATTGAAATCTTCAGTGGCCTCAGATTAACTGTTTTTTCAGATTAACCATCATTTTCAAACCAATATCAGAGCACGTATACCAGCAATCTTGACCTAGACCTGAGTAACTAGGTAAAACGAACGAACGTATCCTTGTCCGTTAGGATCATTTCACAAAATTAGAAACTAAATTTTGTAATTTTTTGTTTATACTTTTTCAGCACTGAATTTTTAAAACTCATGTCAGCTCAGGCTAAATTCATGTTGGTTCAGGCTAAGGCCATAGCAGTTCAGGCTAAGATCATGTCAAGTCAGGTCAGTTCATCTAATGCGATTGTTCCGCTTCTCCGGTCTCGTGTCATGGATTTGGACGAGTATGTTTGAGGTACTTATTACTTCTACTTTCCGCCCTATTTATCTCAAACGGGTGTACCAAGGCGTTTTATCTCAACGCGAATTTCGCCTCATGTGACGTCTTATGGTAGCCTAAGGTAGGGAGTTTCGTGTGGTGTGAGCGGCCTGACTGGAGGACAAGACAGACCATGGTCGAGCATCTTGTGTTTGTCACGATGGTACAAGCTGCAACATTTTTTTTTTAACCCCAATATTATCAGGGTTTGCAAAGTGAGAAATAATGTGGGTTATCAAAAGCTTTTCCAGCGTATATCATGGACGGGCGAAGCCATCCGTTTAGAAATCATTTGGAGGCGTGAAGTGATTTGTGGTGTGGACAGTGAAAGGAATTTCCCAGGTTCAACTAAAAGTAAACTTAAGTTTACCACGGCTTTGTCTGCCGAGCGTGCCGTGCTGTTAGGTCTCCCTGTTTTCACTTTTAGAATTTCATACGCATTTGAATGTTTTTCAGGTGCACGGGCTCCCTGCGTTCACGGCCTCCGTCGTGGCTGGCTCTGTCGTCGTGCCTGCAGATCCCCCGCGGCGTCGTCAGTAACAGCGCCATGTCACCAGCTCCGATGTAGTTTCACCGTCTTCGGCGCGTCATCGTCACCTTCGTGGTATCACGATTAAAGGCTGCGTAAACACTGCCATATTACCTCTCGACAAATCTTAGAATTCTTACGGTCTGCAAATTCCAGTCTGGTTCGGGCAGCCCGCACGCACAGCGGGACGAGATGTAGCAGGTGCCGCCTCCTTCGAAAAACTAACTGATCTTAACCTGCGACACACCACTGGGTATCCAGCGTTGTTGTTCTGCAGCCAAGTCATTGTGACGGCACTGGCTCCGATGCTCTGCATTAAAAATCGTTGCAGAGCATCAGCTGTGCTATGTAACCGCCTATTGTCTCAGGTACGATGCTGGGAGCTTTAGCATGGCATAGCGATCTCCTCCGCCAGGTCAAGTTTGCTGGCATGTTTCCTGTTCAGAAAAATGTGGTGGCCCGTGTGCAGTCAGCTTAGAGATGCAACTTGTGTGTGGTCGTTTAAGTGCACTATGTTCTGGGCATGACTATGCGACATTCTATGTGAACCATGGAGTCACTAATAAATGCTGTAACGCGTGGTGCATTGTTCTTAGATTTGTATCTACGTTGTTTCTGAAAGAAGGTGACATCGAAAACTACACAATGGAAACAGATATGGAGTTTTCGGGAAATTTTATAGAGCGCAACGAAGTTTGGGGCTGTGTGGAACCATAAAGGAGAAGGAATGTTTTTTTAGGAAGAGTTTAGAACAAGAGAAGCGTTGGAGTATAATGTGGTATAGAGGAGAGTCTGTGTAAGTTGAAAAGAGAGGACACAGCGCAATAAAGGCTTCTGATGAAACCCTTAAAGGTTTACCGGAATTCACCCAATTTCCTTCATCTTATAATCCGGTTCCGCCGGCGTTCGCGCTTCTAGAGGACATCGATGGATTCTACAAACTTCAGAGCCTCTCGGATATGCGGGACGGTGGACGTGAGTAGTACTCTAGGATGGTAGATATACTGATGCATAGCACATTGCACTACACTAGTAGATGGTAGCACACCAGGGGGAGGGGTATTACCTTTTCCGGTCAGTGGCTAAATAACCTTTTCATCCCAGCGCAAGGTATTCACCAGCTGCCATCTCGCGACGTGGGAATCGGGGCCCCTTGATTCATTCCGAGGCCCTCGGGAAATGTATTGTGTGCCGGTCCCCTCCCCGACGCAGGCCGTCTTCCCACCGGGGCAGCTGCAGCCGGATCGACGCAGTGGCTTTCACTGAAGCAAAAAGCTCACATACGGGCGCAGAGGATCAAATAATTTGCACAGGGGACCCAGTTCCACTCAACGAGCCACTGGTCGAAGCGGGGTAGAGGGCTCCCGTTTGTTACTGAGGCCTACTGTGAGAATTGGAGCCCGTAAACTGCCTCATTGGCTCATTGTGCACACCTTCACCGCTATCAATCTTCTGTCGTTCTCAGAGGGTCCGACTAACCAACGGAGAAGGCCTGTGGTGGGCTGTGATGTGCTGGGCCATATGGGCCTCTGGCCGGCTTGGGCAGCACAAAATTTCCTTTTCTGTATGCACTGTGATCAGAGGACATCGTGCCCGACAAGAGAACCCCGACCAATTTGACTTGCGAGGTCGTCTGAAAGGATTCGTGGGCCCAGACCTTGTCCGTGCTTGGAAAATGGGCCTTAGTCCGACAAAGGGCCGATTGTTGGTGATCTCTACCGAAGTTAAGGTTTTTTTTCCTCAGATGGGCCCCTTTCAACGCCAGAGGCCCTTTGATTGACATCAGAGGGCTTCGGTCCTTCGGACTGGAGATCTCCGGCCAGCCCTCCCTTCGAGCCCTGTAATCGGGGCGTTGACTGTCAATCCCGAGGGAACCTCTGTATCCTGAGGGAACGAAGCGGCCACGTGCTCCTAATGCCTGCTTCCACCCCTCCCTGCCTGCGCCCGTAGGTGGACCTATAAGATTCCTTATGTTCAAAAGCCAACTTTATTACGCTGCTGCGTCCCAGCTTCACGAAATTAGGTCACAGTACATGTCTGGCGCTTGTAATTATCAAGGATCGGTTACCCGCCTCCAATATTATGATATCAACATGAAACGCCGCTCTCGTCACACTGGGCCGAGTACATTGCAACCAATAATGTGCATATCGCAGCGCCGATTATAAGCCTCCAGACTTTGATACGTATGTAAAACACGAAAGAAGCGTTTTCCAACAGCGCTACACAACATCAGCTTTTGGCTGTAGTTCGATCCAGAATTGAATTATTTCAAACGTTTAAAATTTCCAGACTCCTTTTGACGTGTTGCATTATTTACCACGAGAAGATCCGTTGACCAGTATTCTTTCCGTACTAACCTAAGGTTCATCACTACGTCCCAACAGTAACTTATATGCGCATGCACGGCGATAGGACATCAAATCGTCTTACTGATTTCTGTCCCCTAAACGGTGTGTTCATAATGGATCAAACTGGCACCCTGGTAAATTTCATGACCATAGCTTAACCGGAAGTAGCATGAAGAGGCATTTGGAATTGAGGATGAACCTCCCGCATCGACTTTCCGAGCGAGAATAAATTCATCGCCGGCAGAGATAAAATCACCACCTTTGTGTTAGCCCTCAAAATCAGGCACCGACATTCCCCACAAAACACAACATTCACGTACAATATGGTTATCGCTAGCGGTTATTTTAAAACAAAATATTTTACGATCCCGGTCGCTCATGCACGTTCATTGTGGAATGATGTGCCGTTTCTTGCGCAATCTACCTCCGAAATATGAGTTGGAAGTTGGCCTATTGGTCAAGCAACAAAGATTATCTCAATGTTGGTTAGAGATCGAATTAGGCGATCAGAGCTATATTACTGGAAATCTACTCACCATGTCACGGACATGATATTGTGTGACAAGACGTAAAGCACGACAATACATTCACACTCTTCATTGTAATGGATTTTGCATTCTGACATTAGTTAGAGCTCTTGGAGGCATCTTAAACGTGTTTTGTATGTTATTTGAATATTATAAAGCGAATCATCTAACACTTCTAGTTATGTTTCCTACAAAAGATGGCGCTTTGCATTGTCCTTTGATCGAAACCATTTGCGTCCTTCCATCCTGCAAGGGAACCGGCTTATGAGCTTAATGATACCTTACCATTTGATATCAAAATAAACCATGCAGCCTTAAAAATGCGTTAATTTCCACTTGCCTTAAATCATTTGCCACAAATTTTGACGGGCTGCGGGAAGTCGGTTGTGCAAATTAATTGGCACGTCGACGTTTCAAGCTAGGTGCGGTCGAATTAGCAGGGTACCACAAACGGGCCAATTTTAGACATTCATGCGCAAAAATGTGCGTCGCAAAAATTGGACAAAATTTTTACACTACGAGAAGAAATTCTTTTTTTCGTTTTCTTTTCTATACTCTTGGAAGCTTTAAATGTTTTTAGAACCAACCAAGTGATTACAGAAACACGTATTCCAAATATTCCATCCGAAGTGTTCAACATTTAAATAAGTCTATGGGACTCCGACATATGACATTTTTTACTCGCGTATTTCAGAAAAATGAGATCTGACAGGATCACCTCCCTACCTTCAGTTTGACATTACTATGTGATCCGATTTAACTTTTTGTTGTGTTTCTTACATAACGTAGATATTGCTATGCATGCAGAGCCGTTGATGCATGTAGAACCTAGCTATGCATGTAGAGCCGTTCATCACTGGTGCACAATCTTGCCTATTCGACTCACTTGTCATTTGGCAAATAAGGCTACCCAGCTTCCCTTGACTATTTGTCCATTTTAACATAATCTTTCCTGGGGAGGCAAAATTCCACGAGCGGGTAGGCATTTTGGGTCATTAAGAATGCATCTGCCTCCACAGTGTAGATGCTAAAATACGGCCTGGATATAGGCTGGTGAGATTTTTGAAAGTGGATCGATGGCTCACAGTGCGACAGATTTTTTCATGCACCTTCATTTCGCTGGCTGCTTTTCAAGGGATAACACTTGTCGCAGCATTTTAGGCGGAAACAAGTTCGAGAGCTTGAAACTACTGGGAACAATGTGACAAAAACCATAAAACTGGAGATTCTCTTTTAAGAATCAAACCACATAATAAGGCCCATCTGTTATGTGTTCCTTATCTGGGCTCTACTCCTGTCCGCCGTCGGTGGCCACTGCCCCAGCCCGGACGTTTCCCGCATGACTGACTGCGAACTGATTGTATGGCTGCTTTGTTGCATACTTTTGGATCAGCGTTACTACTACATGGTGTGTGAAACATGCGTTGAACAGCTGCAACAGTACCTTTTTCCGAAATATCGCCCCTTGCATCACACCCTCGCAGAGAAGAAACCTCCGGGAAGCTGTCTGCCTTAACGACGAATTAGCCCAACGAACACTTCATCGCCCATCATGCAACGTATGCAACTTTATATGCTTTTGTGTGTAGACAGGGGCGTAGCCAGAGCCTTGCCAAGGGGAACACAGAGTTGACAAACGCCCATCTTATGGTGGTCCCCCCAACAATCCCCGGATATAGCTTACTTGCTAACAAGTGACACGGCTTCCTTCGCTTTATTATTATTTTTGCCTTGTAATCAGAACAGAAGCCAGGGGCTACTGTGAGCTCAATTCTGTTCGTATTTTGACGTCAATGAGCTGCAGAAATCAGGCGTGGAACGACCGCATGGAAGATATCGCAGGCGCTCCTAATTAGCAGTGGTTAGTTGACTCTTGCTAAACCAATAGTATTTAGAGTCTTTGTCAAAATTTATTATCTGGGTTCTACAGACATTGAGGACATCGCGAAGGTAGATTGTAGGTCGGTATGTTTGATCCAAATTTGAAGATCAAAATTTGATTGTAGATCGAGTGGTCAACAATGTGTATTAACAAGTCCAGGTCATGTTTGTCTGAAATTGTCCACCATTCAGTCAGAATGTATTAATGATACGATTTATGTAACATCTTTTTTAACACGCGCACTGGCAAATGTTAGCAACAAAAGCCTCGACACCAGGCGCTGCAGTCTCCGTAGTCAGCGGAGCGTTAGCCCAGTAGCGAACATTTAGCCGTGGTCCACCGGTGGACTAAAATGATGACGCTTCTAAAATGATGACCTTGAAAATTTTTAATAGACTAGTAATACAAGCTATCTGACCTAATTTTGAGCATGCGCACTCGAAAATCCTAGAAACACAAGTCTCGACTCCTGGCGGACAGCCTCCGTAGGGCCGCCCAGCGCCGGCCAAGCGGCTAATATTGAGCTGTGACCAACGGGTGGACGAAAATGACGACGCTTCTGAAAAAGCAGTCTTGAACGCTTAATCACATCAGATCTTACATTTAGAAGGCAGCATGGGCGCGTATTTTAAGTGTACAATTGTCATACTGATGAAAAGAACGGATCGACCCCTAACTATCGCGATGTTCGGCTGGAATCTTGTGGTTGAACTGAAAGAGTGAAGGCAAAATATTTATTTTTCTAGTATCTATCCAGAAGACAGGTTAACACGACCACCGCCGTCTGGTGGTGCTTGCAGTGACCGACACTTTTCGGTTTAACGGAAGTTGCAACCCAAACCATCCTTGTCCTTGCTCTCGGGGTTGCGGGTGACATGTTCAAGCCTTTTGATGTCATTTGTTTCAATAATACATCCTGAAAGGAATGAGCGTTCTCAGGCAAACATGGCATAATCTTGCTCGGTTTTTAAGCTCATTTCGACACACCCTATTTAAGGATAATGAAACCTCCACTCTACTCAACAATAATGAGACCCCTTATTTCCCTCCGGGCAAATGGCCTCTTGACTGGAACACCAGGGGGTACATTACCGTTTCCTGTCAAGGGCTGAAGGGTCATTCCGTCCCATCGCGAAGTGTCTTCTGGTGGCACGGGGCGGGATCTCCTGGTCGATCCGGAGACCATTAGAAGAATATATCATATTACATTGTTCCCATCCCTGACACGGGAGGCCTTCTGACCCGCGCAGTTAACTCCGGATCAGCACAGGAACCCTCACTGGCGCAACAACATCCCTGATCACCGCAGGTAGTCCGATAGTTGTCACACAGACTCCAGTTCCGTGTGTTTCTGTGTTCTTCAGAGATATTGAGTTCTCCCTGACTGTAGATTGTAGATGAAATGGGATTCCCAATTTGTACTAACGCAGCTAACCCATGTTCGTCTTAAAATGCTCAAGGTGCTGTCAGAGCTGGTTACTGGTAAGAAAACTACGTAATCTGGCATTGAGCATGCGCGCTCGCAAGTCATATTAATAACAACCTGGACGCCCGGCGTTGCAGTCTCCAGGCCGTGCGGCGTCGGCCTTGCGGCTGTAACACTAAGTGATGACCGATGAGCAAACGAAAAAGATGACGCATCTTAAGGGGGATGGCTGGTAAACTAGGTAAATGGGCATGCATGTTTGACATAGTGCAAAAGTAAGCCAAATGCATCCATAATCTGAAAAGTGTGTGTGTGGGGGGGGGGAGTCAACATTGCTGGCCCCCCCACCTTGAAAAGGGGGAGCAAGGTCACCCTAGCCCCCTGTTCATACGCCCTTGAGTTTACTCCTACCCAAGCATATGCTAAACCGTCTATTGCGTTGCCACACTACTGAGGGCAACCATACCTTGTAATGATCCGGCAATATTTTGGTTGTAGACAGAGGCCATTAGAAGAGTACGAACAATCACCTACAGACGCTTTCATGATGACAATGCCTCGGTCATGGTGCTGTGGCCGTAGACAAACGCCAGGACTGCAATACTACAGACGTTCTTGATGTATTGGAGACCGAGAAACTGCGTTCTCAGCTGTCTCCTGTCTGTCAGCTGTGTCAGCTGTGTCTGTCTGTCACACTGTTTCGTAATACTGCTGTTTCATCTATGTCAGGTGTTTACGTCTGCTCTGGGGTCAGAAAAGCGAACGAACGTTTTGGTGAGTCTTCGACTAAAGCCAGGCTGTTCCAATCGTTCCATCTCATCAATGGCTTAATACTGAGCTATCTGAGTTATGTACTCGAAGACGCCATGCCTTAGGTGAGGATGCTTTGGAGGTGGCTGAAGTTTAGTGTCAATATTGCAAAATACTTGTTTCAATTACCAAGCACCTTGAAGGCGCAGGCCTGTGTGGTTTGGTGCGTGTTGAGGTGGGTGGGGGTGCTGCATTCTTCCGCTCTGATGAAAGAACGAATCATGTGATTTTACGGGATCCGTAGTCGCAAGGCTTTCAGAAGATGCAAACTGCTGTAGCTTGCACAAGGCTTCTTTCAAGAGCGTTTCTAAATGGAATATACAATCGGAATGCGTCCGCGTCGGGACTGCCGTCTTCACGCAGTGAGAAAGGACACAGTGATGGTAATTCAAGCGAAAGTGATCTGAAGCATGTAAGGCACGGCCATTCAAATGAAACGAACGAAAATACTGTGATTCCAAAGCCCAGATTAGTGTCAGGGATCTCAGGAATCCCTAAAAATTTACACATGAGGAGAATGAATCCTTTTCAATTTGGTGATGACTCATGCTTTGTATCCCAGCACAGCAGCGGAGATGTCCTTGGTAAGTCAGTTTATTGGATGTGTGATGGTAGCTGTCTTTTTTAAATGAAATGGAGTGTTTCATGACAACATTTTAGTGTTAGTATGAAGAAAGTATTATAGGAGAGGTGTGTTCTGTGCTATCATTGCCTGGAAAAACATCACTGTTTTTATATAGGTGCCATATAGTGAGCTTTTATTTAGCTGTCATGTTCTCATTTTGCTTTACATTCCCCACCCAATCCCCCTGCAACCCATGGTCCCAGTTGGCGTCGAGGATCAAATTTCATGGATTCTTGTTACCTTGGCCTGGTACATTTTTATGGTTCTTGATGCTGCTTGATGCACAGTAATGTTGTGACCCGCACAGTAATGGAGCCTGTGTCGCGGTGCTGTGTGTATGCGGCACTTGGGAGCTCGCCACCGTTAGTATAAAAAATTGAAGGTAAGATTATGGATCTACCTGTTTTGTGATTTTTTATGATATGTCCTGCCTTAAACATGATGGAATGATTTACTTTGGTCCCGTACATTTTGTAGAGTTCTTGGTAAGTAGAAATATTGTATTTACGCAACGGCAACGCAGAAACGGCGCTAGGGAGTCCAGGCGGTGCGGTGCTCGCGGCGCTCGGGGGCCCGCCATCGAAGTTATTGAAATTCGAAGGTAGGAGCATGATTCTACCTGTTTTGAGATGATTTATGATATGTCCTGCCTTAAACACCACGAATGGTGTACAATGATTTTTTCTAACGTTAGGTAGGAAAGTACACCCCTGACCCTTGTGTGAAAATGTTTCCCATGGATCAAATAATGGATCATAGTGTAAAATTTTGTGTCGAATCTATGTAGCATATACCTGCATTGAGTAAATTACTCAGGGCATTCTGGTAAGGGAATGTTCTGACCTATCTGGCATAAATATATTATTTCCTGTACCAAAGATATTTCTTAATTTACACAAGGTAAAACATATTCAACTGACAAGACCTGAGTCTTAGTCTTTGTCAGGATGTGCATGGCAGGTAAAATGACATGTTGTTGAAACAGTGTTTAAACTGCTGAACAACCCTGCTGCAGGATATATCACAGGAGCTTACACAACTTTGCCTGGCCTTGTCATGATTACAATGCTGTATTTTATCACATCTTGACATAATGGATTCCTCAAAATGATTGAAGTTCCAAGTGGTAATGGTCAATACAACTGCTAAGAAGCAATATGTTTATACAAGACCCAATCAGTGTACTTTTTGTGGCTTGGAAATAATGGGAGCTGTCCAAGAACTCAGTTGATTTTTTTTTCTTTCTTACAGCTCACATTATGTCATATATATGACAAACATTAATGTCACCCCAGTTAATGATCATTTATTTCCTTGTTATTGTTGAGGCTATCACCAATGAGTGGAGCAGCTCCAGTGTTTTTGAATTGTCTTTGCTCTTGGGTTCAATATGATGTCAGTGTGAAGAGGGATGGAAAGAGCTGTGCCTGACCATGGTGGGTATGGCTAGGGGTACAGCTATCATATGCATGTCACCTTCATAAATGAGGCACAATTGGACTTTTGTGTCAAAGGGCAAAAGGTGTTAATCCATTGCAGGAGTGTGGAACTCAATTGGGCTGCTCACTCACCAATGGCAAGTTGTATTCTCCCTGAATTGGTGTCATAGTACTGAGCTGATCATGGAAAATGGTCTGCTGGAGTGCTGAAATTTTTTGTGATATACCATGACAAACTTACTTGATTTTTTGTGTTTTATAGTGAATTAAAAGTTGGCGATCAGCTACTCCTGGAGGGGTGATGTTTCATTCAGACCTCAAATGTAAGTTTGAAAGTGTTCTGAAAAATTTCAAGAGCACGATTTTTGTTTTCTGCATAGCATCTGCCATTTCACCTCAGATGTGATTTCTGTAGCTTTGTCATGTATAATCAAGCTCTTTCAATACACTTCCTTCAGGGATTTTCAGATGTCTGCATGCTGTACCAGCTGTTGAGTGAAGGGATGACACAGGGGTTGAGGTGAAGTGACAGTGAAGGGTTGAGTGAAGGCATGGCTCCAAACACAGCTTTCCAGCTGTTGTGATGTGCAGATCAGCTGTTTGCACACTTAAATGCATTCCAGTGTCTTAAATTAATATGCAGTTGGTTGGAAGTAGTTGGAGACAGATCTGTGTCCCACAAATCCTAGAGCTCCTGCGTGGTTTTCCCATCAAACAGATGATACTTGTCAAATACTTATGGCGTGGCAGATATTTCAACTTATCTGAGTAAGTGGGCAAAGGAAAGGAGAGACTGGGCAAGCAAAGGGACTGCTTGAGTTACATCAGTACATAGGAAGGACATTCAGAAAGAAATGAGCCGGTGTTGTTCTTTAGAGCACACGACTTTGCCCCCCCCCCCCATAGAACAGCCAGTTCGGACACCTGCCCAGGTAGAATGTGGTTAGATGCAGCAGTGTCAATCTCCCCATGTCACCCTGTGTGCCATACAAATACGCTGGTCCTATCAATGGTCGAAAGAGGCTGGCTGCCAGTCACTTTATCACTGAGCATCACAGAACTGCAGCCATCGAGCATCAAACATTACCCCGTACCCAGTCCTCACAGCCCATAGCGTGAGTACTAGCTGGTCACACGGGCGCGTCTGCAGCCATTGAGCGGGGTGCTCTCCACGGCACACTTACACCAGCTCAAGACTGGCGGCCGCAGCTCACCCGGTAGAAGCGTTGTGTTGCGTGGCATGGTGTGACAATGATTCAGGATAAACTGTGGCATAACGCCAGAAGTGCTGATGGTGACTAAATGCCATTAGAAAAAGTCTGTTAATGGTGACATTGACATGCCATGGCTGCCAGGCCGGATTGGTGAGTCCATCCATTGTTTGAATTGACGCATAATTATTTGTTGACCCATTCTTGGGATTTCGTTGATGCTCGCTCATTCGCTGCTTTCAGCGCGTCCGGAATGTTCAGTTACGTAGCTCCAACAAAGATGCTGTCAATATCTAGTAACATTTGCATGCCAATACAAATGCTGACCAGGCTGTGGGTATTGGACACATAACATTTGTTCAAGGGGCAGAGCAAGCCAATGCTGGATGGTTCGTGCATCATGGACCTGCCCCTAACAACTTGAAACAGATTATCCATGAAGTCAACCTTCTGGCGTTCCGTTAGCCGCATTCAAAATGGATGTACAGGCTTCAGCATCTGGGAAGCTGCAGTTGGTGCACATGCTGCTCCTACGCTCTCTAGATCACGCTGCGGGCTGTTTGCTTACAAATCCTACTGGAAAGTGCAGGAAAACAACTTCATCCTACGCGATAGAGCATCGTGGATCGCTACCGTGGCCGAACAACCCGTGGGAGCCATCAATTGTACTTTCAAAAAATATTGAAAATTTAGTTATGCACAAATCTGAGGTTTTCACAAACAAAAGCTACCTAAAAAGCTCACAAAAAATGTCTAACAGGCGCCATCAGTTGTTTGTTATCACACAAAAATCTCATTAGCTGGTAATGGTTTAGTGCCATTGATTTCACTTTTCGTTTGAGAATACTGAAAACAACTGTTGCATGCTTGCCCACTCTGTACTTACAATGGCACGAAGCGTGCATGGAACACATCAGTGAGTGACTTTCCAACAGCTCAAGCATTTGTCTTTGGCAGCGTTCGTCTCCGAAATATTGGAACTCCTTCACTCTGTTGTCAATATGGAAGCAGTGTCTTTTTTGGCCTTAAAACGTTTTGAATTTTGAATATTTAGAACAAAATATGGCTACGGAATTGCTGATCTTCAGGTGGCAGAGGGAATTATCTTGAAAAGGAGCTGTGTGCACATGATATTTTAGACCACCACTTAATCTAGCTATTCTTTGTCGTGCGTGATTGCCTATGCTGCAACAGAAAATCTGAAAGTCCCAGAGTGAAGCATTTCATAAGAAAGTCGAGCATCCCTTAAGAGGGATGAAAAGATGTCCTTCAGCATGAATTTTCACTTAAATTTTCGAACTTCAGGGCAAAAGAAAGATCCTTTCTTAAATTTTTGCGAAATATCAGCGCGATATTTGTAATGTTCCAGCTCAGGCTGATGAAGAACATGTGTAGATCAAGGAGTGTGTGATTGGGATTAAATTTGACCTAGTAATGGGTGTCACCGCTTTATGACTTCCTTATAATGTTTTAGAATGTAGGCACATATCTATATTTTTCTATCAGTCACCAGATTTACATGCTGTTGTCATTATTTTTATGCCCGGGAAATAAGTTTCATCTTGGGCTGCAAGTCATCAACTTCCTGCTCTAGAACTAAGATTGACCTTGGGCCGCTTTGTAATGAAATAAGTGTGGTCCAGGATAGGTCTCCCACGAGATTGTGCTATATTTTGTGGTTAAAGAACAACAGGGAGCTCTGCCTAGCATCCTGAGTTTGTAAACTGAGCTCGAGTCTTGCTTAACCATTCAGGATGTTAAGTGTAAGAGGTTAGCTTGCATTTGTTCTTGTATGAGAACTGCGTACATGATTCTGCTCACCCTGTGTTGCATTTGACTCAGGACAACGCAAATCGTTGCTCTGCCTGAATTCACTTAAACTTAGATAGAACCAATACACTCGGAGTTGGTCGGGCTTTCGGTTCCAAATGTAAGCTAAGCAGAGGCATGTTGTTTGTTGATGGTGCATGTCCAGCATGGCATCATCATAGTTTCCACTCCCGCAAGCTTGACTGGCACACTCCCCCTGACCTCGTGTCCCCTCGTGGCCAGGTGTGGCGGACGGCGTGGGCGGCTGGCGACAGTACGGCGTCGACCCAGGAACCTTCAGTGACGCTCTGATGCGCGCCTGCGAGCGCGTGGTGGCGGCCGGCGCGTTCCGGCCGCAGCAACCGGCCCAGCTGCTGGCGCGCGCCTACGCCGAGCTGATGGACAGCAAGGAGCCGATCGTGGGCAGCAGCACCGCCTGCGTGGTGGTGCTGAGCCGCGAGACGGGCCGCCTGCACGCGGCCAACATCGGCGACTCGGGCTTCTTACTGGTGCGTGACGGCCGCGTGCTGCTCCGTTCCGAGGAACAGCAGCACTACTTCAACACTCCCTACCAACTGTCCAACGCGCCACCCGGACAGGACGGACAGGTGAGTCGCCCGAATGGTTCGGCGCTCCTCGGTCGTGACGCCCGTGGGACAAGCAAACTATTGTCCTTATGTGAGCATGAATTCATTAGAGCCTATGAGATATAGCGTGCTATTTCATTTCCGGGGTGCGAAGTTTCTAAATGGGCACTTCCTTGATGCCGTGATTCATATCCTTAATTTGTCATTGAGTTAGTGGCATGAGAGTATGTAGTGCAGGTCAGTGACATGATCTGACGTATGCTGCCCACATATTTCAAACACATCAGAGAAAAGAAAGAACATCTTAATTTGCTCCGCAGAGCGGTCTTGGGTAGCTTTCCCGCTGGTTTCCCAGTGGATCCGTCGGTTTGGTGTGGCACGCCATCAAAACCTGACTGTTTCGCTCACAAGCCGCATAACCAGTCTCGCTTCTCTGCCCACGTGTTTCTTCACTATCTGCGCATATGTTGCACGTCATTGGTTACCGGCCTGACCTGTAAGACCAGACTTGCATCATTCCGTTCTCAGAAGTGATGTCATCGTGTTGGTTGCAGCTCTCATGAAAGTGTTGTGATTGTTCGTCGAGAGGGCGAACACTATGCATGTGCATGTCATGTAAGAGCGAAAAGACGTGCCCCTACGAAGCGAAATAAGTGTAATTATCACACGTATTATGTTATTGATGTAACGTGCCAACGGTCGTCTCGCATCACACGTTTGCCACTTCATCCGAGAGCCGCAGGCTGTGCCTGTGTGCCGTACCGATGTGGCCGCACCAGGCCGCCGGGCGCCGCGCCGCCCACCACTCCGCCCTCCTCGCGCCACAGACTGCCGCTGCACCGTGCCCGGTGCTCCACCGCACACCGGCCGCCCTGTCCATGTATTAGACTGAGGCGGAAAGCGCCCGGGCCGCTCTGCCCATGTATTGGACTGAGGTAGAGGGCGCCCGGCAGCCATCAAGCCAATGTAATTGCCGCAATGCCGTTGCTTGACTCAAATTCAAGGGGCTTGTTCAATCACACGGAAAACGCAACGGTATAATCTTGGGTAACGGCAAGCAACTCTCCGTCCCTTTTACGCTGCATTTTGGTTGTATATGCCCTTCAAGTCAGGTCAGTTTGAAGCTCTTCAGGGCTGTAGACGACTCGACGACGGTCGTCGTGCGGTGTGCGTGACGTCTACCCTTGGCAGGTGCTAGCGGACCGACCGGAGGCGGCGCGCACCTCCGAGATGCCGGTCCAGGCGGGTGACGTCATCATGCTGGGCACAGACGGCGTGTTCGACAACCTGCCGGACGCCATGCTGGTGCGCGAGCTGAGCGGCCTGCACGGCTGCGCCGACTGTCACCGGCTGCAGGCGGCTGCCAACGCCATCGCGCTCATGGCGCGCCGGCTCGCCTTTGACGGCACGTACATGTCGCCGTTCGCCAAGAACGCGCTCACGCACGGCATCGACGCCGTCGGTGAGTGCCGCCGGCGTGGGCAGGGGGCCGTCTCGGCACTGGACGCCGTGCACAGCGTTCTGACTGTACTTCTGAACGATGAAGCGGGTCTGGATTGCAGTGAATGGGTTTGCGATGTTGTTGGCTGTTGTGGATGCATGTTGCAGGGAGAAACAAGGAGGTAGGGGCTACAGCAGGACAATCTACTGAGGTCATAGCAGGACCATCTACTGAGGTCACAGCATGAGCGTCTACTGAGGCCATAGCCGGAGCATCTTCTGAGGTTACAGCAGGACCATCTACTGAGGTCATAGCAGGACCATCTACTGAGGTCACAGCATGAGCGTCTACTGAGGCCATAGCCGGAGCATCTTCTGAGGTTACAGCAGGACCATCTACTGAGGTCATAGCAGGACCATCTACTGAGGTCACAGCATGAGCGTCTACTGAGGCCATAGCCGGAGCATCTTCTGAGGTTACAGCAGGACCATCTACTGAGGTCGTAGCAGGACCATCTACTGAGGTCACAGCATGAACGTCTACTGAGGCCATAGCCGGAGCATCTTCTGAGGTTACAGCAGGACCATCTACTGAGGTCATAGCAGGACCATCTACTGAGGTCACAGCATGAGCGTCTACTGAGGCCATAGCCGGAGCATCTTCTGAGGTTACAGCAGGACCATCCACTTAGGTCATAGCAGGACCATCTAGTGAGGTCAAAGCAGGACCATCTAGTGAGGTCAAAGCAGGACCATCTACTGAGGTTCTAGCAGGACCTACTGAAGTCATTCCAGGACCACCTGCTGACGAATGCCCGGTGATGACCCGCTGAAGCCTATCTTTTGCAGGCGATGGGCCTGTTGTGGCTGTCACGTATGTGCGAGGGCAACGCATCCGCCGGAGTACTTTCACTGCGGTTCGGTGGAAAACTGCTCCTGAGATACCGCAAGGAAGACATTAAGGAAATCGCTCGGATCCAAGCTGAAAAATGAGGCGGTAAAAAATTGCTCACGAAGGCCACTTAACAAATGTGTTCGGCGCCGGCAGACAAAACCAATCAGTAACATAGTATAAAACATGTTCGGAATGGTGATGAACTGGGACTCAGATGGGCAAATTACACAGTCACGATTTTAATGTGGTAATCTGAGCCCTTGAAAACGAATGCCACAATGGTTCGAATGGAACTAGTACGTGAGTACGTGAAGTCGGAATTCGACCCAAATATGATACTCCCCCTGATGATCCCTGCTGAATCACTACGCTTGTTCCCGACGCTATTCAGATGCTTACCGTCACATCGTCCTGGTCAGACGCCAGATTGAAGCCAGACCTCTGGTTTCGGAGCCGAATCCGAAGCCAAGACTGACACAAGGCCGAAATCGAAGACGAAGCCGGTGGTTTCACACCTTAGAACTTCAAAATTAAAGCCGAAGCCGAAACCAGTGTCTTCGGATTTTAAACACGAAGCTAAATCCGAAGCCGGTGGCGTGGTATGTTATCATGCCAAGCCGAAGCCGAGGACGACTCCGAAGTAGAGAACGCGAAGCCAACGGCAAACCCATCAGTTTAAAATCACGGGGCGAAAGTCGAAGCTTAAACTTGATCAGATCAGGAAGGGTTCTGTGCAGTGATTGGGAAAAGGTGGTAGCATTGTGGATGGGAAATTTTCGGACAGTGATCAGTTTCTTGGGCGTTATGTTTGATGTTTCGGACGGTGTTCTTAGAACGTAGTCTGAGGTGGATTGGTTCTGAGAACGCCCGGTTGGTTCGTGCTTTAAGCCGCGTGTGCCATGCATTTAAGTCATTCATCCTGGAAAAGTGGTGCGGCATAGACGGCTGCAAGGACGGGAGTGACTCTTTGTAAGGGAAGAGCGCAACCGCAATAAAGAAATCACCGTATATTAATCACTGGTGATTTCTTTATTGCGGTTGCGCTCTTCCCTTACAAAGAGTCACTCCCGTTCCCGTCCGTCCTTTGTGTTGATCTCGCATTTACCCGGTTTACATGGGCAGCCGAGGATAATTCGAATTAAGATCGGAACGGATCATGCGACGTTAACCCTCTCGGCGAGGGGCGTTTACATGGGCGAAACCGGCTTTACGTCGGATTAACGGTCGATAGTTCGATCCCGCTTAGTTCGAATCAAGGAACGGATTATGGGCGAAAACTGCGCTTTTGAGGCGAACTGAACAAAACAAGAAGAAAAAAGCAGGTACTCTGCGTATGGATGGCGAATGTCACGAGCCATGGTGGGCGCGAGACAGCTTTGAGGGCAAGGAGGAAGATGGACTCCGTTGGAAAAATGATATGTGCGGGACTCATAGGCTTTATAGCTACAGCACAAGCCATAACACTTGAAACACAAGAGTTGTGCAGTCAGCACTGCCAAATCTGTCACATAAGCAGTGTTATATGCAATTTTTTACTAGCGGGAAACTTTGGCTAGCAGGAAATCAGTATTTTCTTGTATTGGCCAATGACACTCACAAACTTACCACACTCATATCAGTATGCCACCCAGCATCATGTCATCTACTTTGCGCAGCCCAAGAAACACATTACCTACTCCCACACTAATGCATTTATGAGCAGCCTGCAACAGTGAGCTAAGCTACAGAAATGACTCATGAATGCTACATAGTTAGTGGCAAAAAATGCGTAACTATGTTGTCTTTCCCCATCCAATGCATCATCAGCACCTGAGGGCAGCATTGCCATTTAGATTTGGCATGGACTGGCAAGTCTGAATGCAGCTATTTGCTTTCTTGACATAATAGGGTTGAAAAACTGCTTTGATATCCTTGCAGTCAACAGCATTGGCTGATATGGACTGATGGCTAGGTGGCACAAACAGCTGTGTTCGCACAGTCCAAAGATCATAACATGTGAACCAGCCCCAGAGCTGTCATGACAAAAGCAATCTGGGCTCAAAATTCATAAATGATTAATTACAACAACAGCTCAATTATCCAGCTCATGGTTTGCAAAGATACATGTCACAAAAAAGCACCAAGGTAACATATTTACTCACCAGTACAAAAACAGGTAATGATGTGCACCACAGATGTTCTCTGCTTATCATGTGGCATTATGTTGGGTTTACTTAGTTTATGCACTGTTTTCTCCCACATGAAATGCACAAACCTGGATTTGACAGAGTACTGATGACAGCTATTTTCATCCAGTGCTCACATTTGCTTTCTTGACATTTTGGAACCATCACTGGGCAATTTTGGTCCCATCATTAAAAATAGTTCACATTCTGCACTGACTGCAATGATCTATTGCCTATATTTGTTGATCCTTTGCATCATGCAGGAATTATTGAGTTACCTATCTCACACAGATTAAACCAACAAGCAACAAACAGCCTAATTGCATCAAAAACAAATATTCCAGCCCCCGCTTCCTTGCCAGTTGGTCTACCAGTGTGACGTAACTTCATATTTCCTTGACAAGCCAGTCACCAATATCCAGCACATCCCTCCTGCCAATAGGTGGTCAACCAAATGTTCAAGTCACAGGAGGAATGTCTGCAAAATCAATCCTGGGGCATTTATGCATTCACCTAATGAAAGAAACTATTGGTACTCCCTGCAAGAATTGTTGAACAGTTGAATTACCTACCTAGTGGCCTGCAAAGACACCCATCACAAAAAAGCACCAAGGTGACATATTTAATCACCAGCACAAAAACAGGTGATGATATGCAACACAGACATGTTCTCCATGCAGCATGTGCCATCGTGTTAGGTGTTAGTTTATGCACTGTTTTCCTGCACATGGAACACACAAACTTGGATTTAGCAGAGTAATGATGACAACTATTTTCATCCAGTGTTCACATTTGCTTTCTTGCTGTTTTGACCCCATCATTGGGCAATTTCGGTCCTACCATTAAAAAAGTTCACATTCCGAGCTCACTGCAATGATCTATACTTGTTCATCCGTCATATCATGCAGCAATTTTTAAGCTACCTTTCTCACACAAATTAAACTGACAAGCAACCAGCATCCTAATTTACGGAACATCTGCAAAAACACCCCTGGGGACTTAAGGTATTAACTTAATGAACGAAACTTGGAGGCATTCTCTGCAAGAATTTTGAGCAATCCAAAAATTAAAATGAGAACAAGTCAAAGCTATATAAAATAACCATATTACCTCCATCTGGCTTTTGGACGCATGGAGCCTGCCCCAGATGTAAGCTAATCTAACCTTTAGGCGGAAAGATAGCACCAAACACCGTCGACGCCTGCTGTCTGCATAGATCAAGCGCCTAGCAAGGCTAAATTACGTGAGCATTTCTGTGCTGCTAGCCACTCAAGGCCCTCAATAATAAGAGTAGTTTTAGCAGCATGATGTCAACTTCACCTTCCTTCTCTTTTCCCTTACCATCTTGGACTTGAACCGTCTCGAGCAATAGCTAAAAACCCGTGGAAAAGCGGTAACACCGCACAAAGCTGAAATGGCTATGAACAGAACTGCGTGCGCCAGGCATTTTTCTTTTGTTTAGACAGCTGACGGCCGATAATTCGGACGAAATCCCTTCCTGAACGGATGATCCTCTCACGGGAAGGGATTTCCTCCGGCGCACGATTCGAATCAGCGGAACGGCGCGTGAGTGTATACATGGGCCGGATAGTTCGGATCGAGGACGGGTCCCGGCTTAATTCGAATCACAGCTGCCCATGTAAACAGGGTAATTGTCTCCATAGCTGAGGACAATGCGAGATCGCACGGAGCTGAAGCTGGACAATAAGCCGAAACTTGCTTGAAGCCGGAGCCCAGGCTAGCTACCACAAAGCTGAAGCCGAGGCTAAATTTAACCGTCCATGACACGCAGCCGAAGCTGAAGTCGGCCTTGGAAGATGACTCGGAGCGGAAGCCGAATCCGAAGCCACTACAGAACTGTGGCTTCGTGAAGCCGGCTTCGTCCCCATACCTAATACGGATTCAAGTGTACAAGCCCTCGCCCTGATAAGGGGCGATGCACCCGGAGGTTTTTTGAGGATGCTTCTGGGGCCTGTTGTGCAATCATCCCAAATTTTCAGCAGCCTGTGGATAATTTTATTGGGCATATTTTGACCAAAAAGCGCAAAAAGTGTTGCTAACGTTGCTGGGTTCGAAGCAGCGGTAGTTTTTAAGGAACATTGCACGGCTATTTACAGCCGGCGGCAACCCACGATGCCTCGGAGCGCGCACGGCCGGCAGACATTGTTTCATGAAAGGGGCCAGATATCACAAACTTCGTGTGAAAAAACAAAGGTTTGACCTGCCATAATGGGGTCAATTACTGACCGAAGCTGTAACATAACATACAGTACCAATCTCGAGATCCGAGACAAATCCACTGGTGTTCTCCGCTAAGTTCTGTGTTAGTTTGGGAACGCCAGGGGATCGCACCCCCCTCAGTTCACTTAATGAAGACCGGTGAATCAGGGCCAAGGTGAAGCCACAATCGCATTCCTTGCGAGTTTTCTTACCGATGTCCCCTTGGCGATGCCTGCGTTGACAAATTAAGTCGCCCATATCTGCAGCCTAAGTTTACCCGCCGCTGGTATTTGGCCATCATTCCATCCGCAAGTGTAATTCTCGCGGCGCGTGACGACCTGACGTGACGTGACGTGACCTGACCTGACGTGACGACCGGCTGTGGTATTCTGCTGTGGCGCGGTCGCAACGTGGTGACGCTCTGCCTCCCGCTGCCGCAGGTGGAAAGCCGGACGACATCACGGTGGTGCTGGCCACAGTGATATCCTAGCAGCTCCGTCGGCCGCGCCGCGCTCCTGTGCAATCGCGTCGGTCCGTACTTAGATAGGGTAGTAGGCGGCTCCGGGCGCGGCGAGCAGGCGGAGCCGGGCCGGCAGAGTCGGGTGACGTCGAGCGTGCTGGGTGAATGGTAGCTGCGTGCGTGCGTGTACGCCGTTTCAGTGATCGTGCCATTGAATCTGTGGAAAAGCATTCAAGGGCCGTTATTTTTGTCTGGCCGTTTTGTACGTTTGTCAGTAGCGGCAACGAGATTCTTGGTTCGGTCTGTCCCTGGCGACTTCATGTGTTCCATTTGCTAGCCCGGATTTATCAGCGCCTTGTGTTGCGGGCGGCACGACGGTGGCGCCGCCGGACGGTTGGCCGCCGCAGGACGGCGGCCCTGTGGCGCTCCGCCCCGCCCGGTCGCTGCCGCCCGGGCAGAGCTGGAGCAGTGTCCCGACGTGACCCGAGAGGGGCCGCCCCCTTCCCTCCCGGCCGGCCGTGCCCGTCGGAGCGGGTCGCGGCCGGCGTGGTGTAGTCGCTTTAGTGATATTAGCGTGTCGGCTCCTGGTGGAGGCCGGGCGAGTGTGAGCTGACGCTGCCTGGCGTCTCTCCCGCCACTCTGAGAAACGACTGTACATAATGGCATATTCGGCTCTGCACGAATAAACATCACACAGCACGGATAACATCGAACGGGGGTGATCAGCAGCGGACGTAACAAGCACAGCCAACACGCAGCGCGCACAGCACGGACCGCCGGCCTGGGACTAGGACCGGGCTAGCGCGCACGGGCGCCGCTAGCCACCGGGCGGCGGGTCCCACTGCGCTCGCGCGTTCGCCCGGTACGCGGGCACATGGCCGGGAGCGTCAGGGTCGCTATCCAGCAGGACCCGACTGTAACACAACACCGAGAAAGTTAGCTGACGCAAGAGAGCGCGGCTCCGGGGGCACCACTCGTCAGCGGGGAGATGGCGTCAGGCACGCCTGTGCCTGAAGTGAGGTTCAGGGATAATGAGGCGACCAGCCGATTGTTTGATGATCCATCGGCCCACCAGCCGGTGACAGTGGCGTAGAGCGCATCCTTGAGTAAAGCTTGGTAACAATTAGACGGCTCATAATATCGTTGAGCACCGCACATACAGCGGATGGGTGATTCCAGAAGGCCACTTGGAAGATAGACGTACTTAGCACGCACTCATATTTTGTGTCGGCAGTCGGAAATTCCCGATACAATGAGAGGAAGCCCAGGAGGCTCAGGATACCCCGCCAGTCTCCCAAGGAGCTCCAGACGTGGCTGTCCCGGGATAGGGGCTACTCACAGCCAGCGGGGCGCCCGCAGCGCACGAAAACCGCCCGTCTGCTGGGGGAACACGTCCTCCAGGAAAAAGTAGCCGTGGCCGACGGCAATGCCGACCATGTCGACGGCCACCTTGTTGCCGAGCAGCAGCGAGAAGGCCAGCAGCACCCAGGGCAGGTACGGTGCCTGTGGTGGGCGGCGCCAGAGGTCACTGGCACGCCACCCCGGAGCGGCCCCACGAACAGCGGCAGGTCTCGGACACCACCCACCGAGCCCGTCCGCCAGGCACCGAAAGCACGTCAGAATACATGGTGGTAGCTCCTCTCCCACCAGGAAGTGCATGCGCTAACAAGATGCTCACTCAGCACTTGCCTGGAAGCTCAAGAGGCCGAAAAAGTTCAGGTGAATGAAGGGGTTCCGGCGACTCCAGACGTATACCAGCATGATGGTGAATGCCTGGCCGAGGAAGAGCAGGTTCACGGCGAGCGCGGAGCAGACGATGCTGACAGCGCCGAACGCGAACATCACGACGAAGTCGGCCGTGCGGCCCCGGAACGAGCCATCCTCCAGGTCGCGGCAGTAGCGGTAGGTGAAGACCAGGTTGAAGAGGAAGGTGAAGCCGACCGGACCGAAGAACAGGAAGGTGGTGACGAGCCGCCAGAACTGCCGGTACGGGCCGGGCGTCGGCGATGGGGCCAGTGGTCGCGGCAGCGTGCTGACTACTGGGATCGTCAGGCCGGCGAGGCGATGCTACGGTTTTGGAGTGCTCCGACTGCTGAGCGATGTAGCAATGTCGCCTCACGATACCCCCATGAGCAGGCGGCAACGATGACGCTCTTGACGAATACCGCGGTGTGATAATGAACAAACGGCTCCAATAATTTGTTTCACAACTTCTGAGGTAAACAACACAGTCAAATTTAACTCTTCGATAAGAAATCGTGTCAAACGTGGTTGGATACCTTGGAATTCTTCCAACACTGAACGAAAGAGGCTAGCATAAAAACTAGCATACGTGCCTTATGTTGCTGCTGCTTGCTTGCCAAACCGACCTACGCCGTCGTCTGCTTGTTCTGGCTTCAGCATCACACAAACTTTTGCATGTAAGAGTGAAGCCCATTCCTCATATTTACAGTGAACAAAGGTCACTTTCTTTAAATGTGCAGTAATGTGCAGTGTCCGCACAAAAGCAACAGTTACCTGATATCGTGTCAAAATCAGGCGTGGATTGAAGTACAGCTGGAACGGCGACACCAGGTCCAGTTGCTGGAATAAACGAGGAACAGCATGTGACATGTGGTCCTAGGTCTCCGCCGGTCGCACTCACTGGGCGCCACACGTGAAGACTAAACAGATTGAGAAACCACAAGCACATTGCTGGGAGCCGGTGAGTGTTCTCCAACAATGAACCATGGTGATTTGTCTTCTCAATCATCCACTCATACGTGTCATCAGCGTCGCGAACTACAGTGCCACAAATTCCGTAGGTTGCAGTGAAACCATGCGGCATAATCAATGCCCACAAACTGTTTTACAAATCAATCTGCATTGCAACTGCTCGCCACCGGACAATGCTCTTGTGCCGACAAGCCTGGTGCTGAGGTCGCACGAGTCCCCACAGCTGTGTCATCATCTGAGCCCTCACCACGGCCAAGGTGGTGAGAACACAGGCTGTGGTGTAAGCCCTGGTAACCGGCGGCATCTCCAGATATTCGGCCAGCAGTGCTTGGTGTGCCATTGCAGCACTATAATCTAGCACAGAAGGAACACATCATTCAGATGGCACGTAAACACTCATGATATTGCGAGCCACTCTGGCTTAGTCACATGCAATATTATGCATCTTAAAGTTTTAAATTCCGTAAGGTTTACTAAGGGTGTTTTTTTAGAGTGGTGAAGCTCCAACACAAACATTGCAACAACTATGGGAAGCTAGCTCTCCATTGCTTGACTGAACCACTCAGCCACACACTTGCAATGGAAGACATAGCATTGGGTGCTGATACATATTTCACACATTGTTTGGATATGAACAATCTAGTGTTCAACTGCATGATGCTCCTTATCACTTAATGGACCACCAACCACCAGGAGCCCCTGGGCACCATGTACTGATGAAGACATCACATGGAAGCAATGCAGTGCAGTGGTGCAGAAGCTCTGAAAACTCAAGTGAGATCGAGGAGGGTTGAAATGGTAGATGCTTATTAGAGAAACATACTTTCCACCATGGGCATGGATAATCATCCTGTATATGGTTGTATCTGCAGGTGTATCTTCCAGGTTGCATCTTCCAAAGTTATTACAGAATTTCAATACTTTTCCCAAACACTGATGTCAATCATTAAATTAAAACTGGCCAAAACAGTACATTCAACATTTTAGATCTTTAGGTGATTAGCATCAACATCTCTCAGGCTGATTGCCACTGTGATGGCAAAACTCTCAGCCAAAAGTCAGACTCACACCCCCATAACTATCCACACATGGTCATATGCCAGGTACTCCCCCAGCTGCACTACCCTCAGCCCCTTAAGGTGCCAACCGGAATATGTTTGACTTACCAGCTGCTCCGTGCGTCGGTATGTGACGAAAACATGCGCCAGGCCTATGTTCTCATTGGCAGTTCATCATCATCATGATAACGGTAGTTGTCGTCTGATCGACAGTCGTTTTATTACACCAGAAAATTGCCGACCAATTTACCGTAGGTAACTGTCTTGGATGTTTCAGTACCTGGTTAAGTACGTAGCACTACCATAACCATGTACGACATATAGCTTGGGCTGAAAGTGTTTGGATGACGGTGCACTTGGCGCCGTAAATGAAACATCAACGCAAAGCTGCGTTACGATTATTGTAAAAGACAAAATAATCTTGTGAACAAATACACCGGCACATATGGCAAAATACACTGAGCTGCTCGTAGAAAAGCCATAAATATGGCATATTTTGTGATAAGACTTTATAAAGTGCGTACTAAAGGCTGCCACTTTTAGTACGCATCGGTACTAAACACTACTTACCTCTTAGGAAGAATTCATACTAAATATTCTCGGGGATATGTTATTTGGGCACATTTTGGTTACCATGCCTGGATGTCGACAATCGCTGCTCACAGGGCAAAAGCTGGCGCGGCCGTGCACGATATAGGTGAAGACGCATGCGGTAGAGAGGACTCGGAATGGGATTGCGTTCTGCCTGTTGTCTGCATTTGCTCGACGGACTAATGAGTGAATTACTCAGCAAATAGTAATAATATTCACCCGTAAATTTAGTTGTGATACTTAAAACGGTATCAGAACCAAATCCCGCGTATCGTATTTGGCAGATAAGACGGCAAACGGTCGGCGGAAATGTCGTATTGTCGGGAAGAAGGTGAGCTTGCATGATGGTGGATACATATCTGAATCCCAATGCCGTTCAGAAGTATTGTGTATGACGCCAATATTAGTCATGATGGGCACCCAGAATCCCACATGCATGACGGCTGCTCTGCCATGCATGTTGAGGCTGAGAAGTAGTCAGGCATTGCATTATTCATGTTTGCAAATATTGGGCTGAGTTCCATTTTTCCTCCATACAATGTACTTGTCATTGTAATACTAAGGTTTTGATAGCTAAGATTGTTATTGTCTGCACCAGTTAACATAATGCAATTTTGCTGCTGCATGATTATAAATGGCATTGTCCGCACCAAAGATGGTTCATGCACAACTTGTGGTGTAAAGCAAGCTAATCCACTTAATCATTGCCACCACTGATTTTATGCTTTATGCCATTTCATTCATTTCTTTGCTCTCTATTCATGTCTTGCATGTGTTCAGTGTCCATCTCATGAGTGCAAAGAAAACATGTTGACACATGTATTTGCTGATATGTTCACAGTGTTTATGTTCATTATTTTGCCCTTCTGCATGGTGTTTTTTATTTACTTGCAGCAGTATATGTTACCTGTATTATTTGCAACAGCCAGAAGCCACCCCAGCAGTAGGGTCATGGGCTCAAAATGGCCCCAACAGCTTGTGTTCTGATGCACCAAAAATTATGTAACAAATTCACAGTGATCATGAAGGCCATGCTCATCTGTCATGTGTCAATAGTGTGTTGGCTGCACTTTAAAGCTCCCTATTAAAAGGGTGACTTGCTAAAGTAGAAAGTGCAAGATCTACAGACCTTTCACATGTGCCTGGTTGGCTGGTTGAATACCCTTTGCTATAGTGGAGGTATTTGAACTCAGCACATTTGGGTTCCAATACATGCAGTTGCAATAACATTAGCCAGTCAACCATCAGCACCCTCTCCCAGCTGTCTAGTGCAGTGCTTCATAACTTTGCATTTTCTTGGAAGGAATGCCCTAGTGGTCATTTGCAGATACCTTAGATGAGGCCTAAAGCCCTTGATAAGCTCATGCCCTTGTGAACAAATGTAACTGAATTGGCAGCACTAAACTCAGATTTCTTGAAGACTGAAGTCATGGTAGATAGAGGAACACTAACCATAAGTCTCATGGTGTATTGTAATGGGGAGTCACATACAGGACAAAAACAACTCAATTGGGTCCCAGCCAGCAGAGATGGCAAAACACCAGTCCAGCACTCAGCATCAAAATGATGTGCTACTGGGTTTTTTGGTCCCATGTAACAATATGCCATGATACTTTTAATTCATGTCTCTCCATCTAGGGAGCCACAGGTTTGAATGATGTTCATAGTGCAGTAGGCTTAAAAAAGCATGGAGGTGGGCTTTTCAGAATAAACCTGCCCTCAGACAGTGTTTTGATTCAGAACCCCTTCTGAGTTGAGTCCCCCATACACATTACAGAGTGAGCGAGGTGCGTGGATGTATGCATAGTTTAATGTCAACGAAACTCTTCATGGCAGGAAAGGACAAAATTATCTTTCTCACCAAAGAAGACTATGATCAACCAGGGACAATTGAGCTGGGAGAGGATGAGCAGCCTGCAGGTATTTATCCACTGTGATTAACTGCTGCAAGACTATGCAGATGAATCTTAAGAGAACATTCTTTTTGCCATTGTATCAATTTCAGGTTGTTGTTATTTGTCCCGATGCATCTGAGTTTGGCTGTGATGTGCTCTAACCAGCTGTTTTAAATGCAGTGTCTGTTTTGAGCCTCTCGATCTGTGTTAAGTTGTTTTAGGCCACTCTGCTCTTGGCGGTAACTCAGTCTAACTCGGCACGGCGGTGCTGAATGGCGGCGTGTTGTTCAGGCCTGATCGGCGCCGACGGCGAGATCAACTGGAACTGCCCGTGTCTGGGCGGCATGGCGACGGGGCCGTGCGGCGTCGAGTTCCGGGAGGCCTTCTCCTGCTTCCACTACAGGTCTGAGATCAGCCATCAGAGCAGCAGTCGATGCTAGGCGTCGTTAGTATCCGTGACACTGACTTCAATGAGCTGTTGCGTGCTCGCTTGTAGATCTCCTGAGCGACAGCACAGCTGCCATGTTGCCGCAGAGCATCGTTGTAGGTCGGGTCATGGTGCAAGACATTTGTAACCTTTGTTCCAGCGAACAGAATGCAGCATGGCCTGAGAGCGTGTCCCGCGTTGCTCTTCGTATTTTTGGACGCGCCAACAGCTAAGTGTCTGTGGCAGTGCGTTTCTGCCGTGAGACGCCGGACCGACGGCTGACTTGCGTCCGTGGCCGGCAGCTCGGCGCAGCCGCGCGGCAGCGACTGCTACGAGCCGTTTCAGAAGATGCACGAGTGCATGCAGAGCTACCCCGAGCTGTACGGCAGCTCCGAGGACGACGACAAGGAGTTCCAGGAGAAGATGGAGAAGGCCGAGGCCGAGTCTGCCGCGCGGGCGGACGCGACAGTAGAGGCCGCTCCCACTACAACAGAGGCTGCCGCCGAGACCGCCTCCGCGCCCATTGAAAACAAAGTGCAAGCGAGATCCTAACGGAGGCTTTGGGGCGCGGCGCGCGACTGTCTGATGTGTTAGTACCTCATTGTTACTCATGGGATGCGGTGAGTCCCGGGGAGTGCACTTGGTTGCGCGGGTCTGAATGCTCTCCCAGGTCGATTGCATGACCACGGGCGGACCTGGGGGAGGGGGAGGAGGGGAGGGAGGGGGGAGGGGAGGGGGTTTCCGATCGGAGGGAAAGGGATCGGTGCCATGGCCCAGCGGTGCTCTGTTGGTGCGGCCACGTGCTGTTCTGGTGCGGTCTGTACGTGCAGCAGCCCAGGCTGCAAACTCAGGTCATTGCTATCATTTGAACAGTTCCTGCCGGAGCGCTGGTGATTGCCTACGAATAAACTAGCCATTGGCCGGCGTGCTGCGGATTATGTCAGTTTAGTCGTGCTCGGATAAAAGATAATTCAACGATTCGCACGCTGTTTTGCAACGCATTGCATTCAACAGGATGGTTTGTAGCTGTTCACCTACTGATTGTTGTTTCATTACTTCTGGCATGATGAAAAGTAAGCATGACTGGCATTACAAAACGTATTTTGCTGAGATCTGATATAGCTTCGATACGGACACTGAGTCGCGATTGTAAGTCCTGATTGGTTCGGGTAATCGGGATGTTGACTGCAAGAGACCACTCTTCCGTATCAGTGGGACAAGCGCAGGACCAGACATGTCTGGGCTATGGACCACTCTTCCGTATCGATAGGGCAAGCGCGGGACCAGACATGTCTGGGCGATGAACCACTCTTCCATATCGATAGGGCAAGCGCGGGACCAGACATGTCTGGGCGATGAATCACTCTTCCATATCGATAGGGCAAGCGCGGGACCAGACATGTCTGGGCGATGGACCACTCTTCCATATCGATAGGGCAAGCGCGGGACCAGACATGTCTGGGCGATGGACCACTCTTCCTAATCGATAGGGCAAGCGCGGGACCAGACATGTCTGGGCGATGAATCACTCTTCCGTATCGATAGGGCAAGCGCGGGACCAGACATGTCTGGGCGATGAACCACTCCTCCATATCGATAGGGCAAGCGCGGGACCAGACATGTCTGGGCGATGAACCACTCTTCCATATCGATGGGGCAAGCGCGGGACCAGACATGTCTGGGCGATGGACCACTCTTCCATATCGATAGGGCAAGCGCGGGACCAGACATGTCTGGGCGATGTACCAGTCTTCCGCATCGATGAGACGAACGCGGGACCAGACATGTATTGGCGATGCGGCGAACGCGGGACGAGGCATGCGTGTCTGGGCGATGCTGCGCTAGAATGCACACTGCTGCAGAGAGTGCGTGTGATTCCCTTCACGGCAACATCGCGGTAGGGGGAGCACCTTGTGTGCTCTTGGGGTCCCAGGCTTCCTGTAATCTTATGATTGAGCGAGAAGCCCTTGGAGTTGTGTGAACAAAGTGGTGGTAAGTCTGAGGTTACTGTTGAAGTCTTGGGAGGGGGGAGGGAACTGACTCCTGATCCAGACGTTGTTCCCATCCCGGCAACACGTGACTCATTGCGCCACTGTTCTTGAGTTCTGAGTGCGAAGGGTTCTGGGAGCTGTGCTCCATGTAGAAAACATGTGACATCGCAGGTGGTTTCCTCGGGTCTGCGTTTGCTCTGGAAGAACGGATCTGTGGTGGACGACACCACGTACCTGTCATGCTAAGCCTCCGATTACGAACAGCGTGGAAAACAACACGAGAACTCCATATGTCATGCCTGGGGGGTCAATAGGCTTATGGAGGCGTCACGTGTCTTGCATTTTGTGGACGTTGAATTAACACGATGAAAGCCACTTGATCACAATGAATTAACCCAGACTCGAGCTACCGGCCTGTGTCACTGCGGTGTCGCTTGTGGACGCAATGGCTACCTGACACAGCTTCGCGGTTGACAGTTGTGGAAGTTACGGCGTCTTGATTAACACTAAATTTTTGTAGTGAAAACATCTGTAGTGCTCGGACCATCACCTGAGAAGTTAACTGCGGTGCGATCTGAGTCATGACATTGATCAGTCACACCAGATGGCTACGGTGAAATCCATGACACTAATGGCACCTATTTACACATGATTCAATACGTATACTCGGCTGCTTGTTAGAGGGAAGTGCGCAACGGTCAAACCTTAGTTTCGGCTTTTTTGCAGGGGTCCGCCCTCCTTGTTTGCAGGGGTCTGCCCTCCTTGTTTGCAGGGGTCTGCCCTCCTTGTTTGCAGGGGTCTGCCCTCCTTTTGCTCTGGCTTAGCTTGGAGTGTCTCGCACCAAAGCGGCAAGCTTGGCAATGCTCAGGAGCTCCTTAAGACCTGAGAGAAACATAATTTCAAGGCAGTATCCACCAAGTCTCAGCCCAGATTATGTGACTGGCTATTGAACAGTCGTGCACATCTCAAGCCCGAGCTTGGATTTAGACATTATCCATCGTAATAATCCACTTCCGCGGCTGAAGGGCATGCTGATGTGAAAAGCGAAC